CCTAACCCTAACCCTAACCCTAACCCTAACCCTAACCCTAACCCTAACCCTAACCCTAACCCTAACCCTAACCCTAACCCTAACCCTAACCCTAAACCCTATATTTCTAGAGGTTTTTCCTTACCTACTTTTCCTTATCTTATGTGTATACCTTAATTTAAGAGTAGAATATAGCTATATAGAAAGGAATGGAATGTTAACTAACCCTAACCCACTAAATTTAATACGGTATAGGCTCTCTTCTTCGTAGGTATAGGGTGCTATTCCTAACTATCTATTAGAGAGGGTCTTTAAGCGCGACTTTACTTAGAGACTAAGCATTTCCCTAGTTATTAGTAGAAGAGTAGTCGGCTCTTCCGGCCTTACTAGGAGCGTTGTTAGTAGCTATAGTAGTAACTTAGTTAACTTAGTTAACGTAGTTATGGCTAGCATTCTTAGGGCAGTTAAAGGAGGTATAGCTAGTCTTATAGTAGCAGAAGTAACGTCCTTTAGCGCGTAGTTTATTATAGAGAGCGTCGGTTAGCTTAGGAAGTGTAGCGACTAAGAATGTAGCGGTACTAGTAGTAGTGGTAGTTAAACTAGTAGATAAGGAGCTAGTAAAGCGAGGCTTATAATAAGGGCGAGGTTCGTAACGCTTAGAGGTCTTCTTACTAGCGTCTTAAGAAGCGAATAAACGATCGAGAGCGTAGTAACGTCTAATTATAGTCTTAAAGTTAGGGTAGTTAGTACCGTCGTCGATCTTAGTATAGTAACGACCGTTAAGCTTCTTAATAATCTAAATTTCCTACTACTCCTTATCTATATAGACGTAGGCTAGCTTCTCTTTAAACTTAGTATAGAAGTTAGTAAAGCTCTTATAGTAGCCCTAAGTTAGGTTACTAAGCTCTAAGTATATACGGGACTTCTTATGTCTATTACTATACTAGTCGTTTATCTAGTAGAGATAATCGGTAATAGAGGTAAAGGCGTTAGTAAGGGCGGTATTAAACTCGTCCTAAGTAATATAGACTTTAAGGTAAAGGATAGGACCATTCTTAGTACGACTTAGGAGGTAGTATATCTTAGTTATCTCGTCTATACCCTCGAATTTACTAGAGTATAGCTTAATACTTATCTTAGTACTCTATTTAGCGAACTTAACCTTATCGTTATTAGTAAACTTAGGAGGTTTAGGAACTTTAAAGAGACGGTAGCTAGAGGCTAAGGTACTAGTTATAACGGTAGTACGCTAGGTAGGAGCTTTAGAGGTACGAAGGTTAGGCTTATAGCGAGTATAAGGGGTTATAGTAATAACGTAGGCTTAAAGGTTAGTATAGGCTATCTAAGAAGGAGACTATAACCTATTATAAGGTATAGGGCAAATAGAGGTAGTACGTCTATAGCGGTCTTCTAGGGAAGCTTATTATAGTTCTATAAGCTATTAGTAGAGCTTAATAATATTAGACTCTTAGAGTCCTATTAAGACTTATTATTAGTTAATAATCTTCTAGTATATATTAAGGTAAGCTTAGCGGCGATTAGCTACGCCGGTTTATTCTTCTAATATACGTCTATTTTAGTCGGCGGTATCTTTAAGAACGTTAAGTTTATTAGATATATTGTCGATAGTGTCCTTAGCTTAGACGTAACTTAACTAAACGGCGATAATGGCGTAGAACTATTAGTAGGGGTAGTATACGATAGATATAGCAAATTCTTTAGCGTCTAGGGTAGTAAATTACTTAAGGGTTTTAACGTTATAGCTCTTACGGTAGAGGGCGTTAGTTATAATATAGTTAATGTTAAGTTTATAGTCTTTAGTAATATTAAGGAGGGTGTCGTTAATATAAGTGTTATTATAATCCTAGCCCTTAGTACGACGGTTATAGTAATAGGGCTTATCCTTAAACTAAGATACCTCTAGGTTAATAAAACTAGAGTTCTAGAAGGCGCTAGGGACTTAGGTTTAGGGAGCGGAGTAGAACTACTAAGACTATAATTATAACTATAAGGTTTAAGTAGTATTTTAAGTAGTAGAAGCGATAGTAGCGCCCTATTAAGAGGGTATAGCATCTTCGTCCCTATTAAGGAGATCCGAAAGAAGAAGGGAGGAGTTTCTAGGAATATAAGAGCGTAACTATCGCGTCTACGAACGGCTACGGCCTAAGTTAGTTACTTACTAGTTAGTAATGTCTCTATTAGTAGTGCTATATAGCTATCTATCTCTAGCGGCCTACTATTTAATAGCGTTAAGGAATTCTATGTTTATATTATAATACTAATAAATAGCGTTTAGTACGGCGTTTACGCGAATACGCTCTCTATTAGGGTACGTTATAGTATTAGTAGTTTAAGGGGAGTTAGCTTAATAGAATAATAAGGACCGAGTACTAAGTTTAATTTAATAGACTATTAAGTAAGTAGAAAGAGAGAAGTATAAGGCTTAAGTCGCTAATAAGCTATATATAAGAGCCTCGGCCTTAGCGCTAGCTTCGGCTTAAAGCGGAGATAAACCGAAGGTCGTAGGTTCGAATCCGTCTAAAACCGTATTAACTAAGTCCTATAAGAGTAGCTATAGGATACTATATAGCTATTAATATAGAAGTAGTACTATTACTTATAGATAAAGCGCTAGTCCTAGTCCTAGTCCTAGTAATACTACTAGTAACGCTACTAGTACCCTTTTAAGTTATACTACTATTTATACTACTATTAGCCTTTATAGTAACGATACTACTAGTCTTTCTAGTAGTGCTAGTACTCCTAGTAGCTACTATCTCTACTAAAGTAGTAGTAATAGTAATCGTTATATTCTATATAGTCTAGGTATAAGTTACGCTACTAATAGGAATAGTTATAATACTATTAGTATTACTTTAAGTACTAGTAGCTAAGTATAATAAAGTAGGTCTTATATAGTTAGAAGTATCTACCCTATAGATGTTAATTCTATAATCTATATAATTAAAATTCTAGAGCTAGAAGGAATATTATACTAGACTATTATTAACACTATAGCTATTATCCTTAATAAAAGCCTTTTTAATATAGTCTAAAATAATATTACTAGGGTCTTAATCTTTATAAGTATCTTAGGCGCTATTAGTAGATATAGTTAGTAAGGTAGGTAATATATATATATAGTAAATCTAATTACTTACCTAGTAGTATAAGTACTATAGAGGTAATAATTATAATTAGGAGTTAGTTACTCTTTAAGATAGTCTAAACTACTACGCTTAGATTATACTTTTTCTATATAGATTAAGTAAGCTTTATTAGTAAATAAGTTATTATTTAGCTTATTAAGGTTATAGCTATATAACTTAGCTATATCTATAGGAGCTAGCTATTATTAGTAGGTTTAAGGTAGGTTTATCTTTACTTAATATTAAAGAGCATATAAAATTATAGGAGAGCACTAGTTGTTAGTAATCGTATAAATAGATCTATACTAACATTAGTTATATAGTAAAGAATGTTGTTTTAGTATATCTTGTTATAACCTGTTCTAGCAATTTGTAAGGGTACAGTCGAAATCCAGATGATTGTTCCATCACGCACAACTCGTCTTGGCAGATCCCGGCTAAGGTCATAGCCGCAGATGTGCCATTTGCGGGGGTTCTATACCCAACATCAAAATCCTTCCCTGCCGGTACAGAAACCGTCATGAGATACTGAACTCTGACAAGTGTCTTTCATAAAGATATAGCTGTTAACAGGACTTTCGCTTGTCCAATCTTCCGCCTCAAACAGAAACTGCTCCTAATGATGAACAACCAACCAGTCACTTTCGCCGTCATCGGCACAGGTCTCATCGGTCCTCGTCACGCCGCTGCGATCATCAAGACACCAAAAGCAAGACTTGCTTGCATCGTAGACCCAAATCCTGCAGCTTCAGCAGTGGCAGCAGAACTCAATGTTCCACTCTTTGACTCTGTTGCAGAGATGTTGGCATCCCCTCTCAAGCCGCAAGCAGCGATAATTTGCACGCCGAACCACACACACGTGTCCATCTCAAAGACTCTTCTCGACGCTAATGTCTCTGTTCTCTGTGAGAAACCAATCGCCACTGACTTGGCCGCTGCAGCAGGACTTCTGAATCACGTCAAGCAGAGTTCAGCAAAATTTGCAGTAGGCCACCACAGAAGGTTCAACAGGTACTTTCGAGCCACCAAAGCCGCGATGCCTTCTCTAGGTCGTGTGATCGCAGTATCAGGACTCTGGACACTCTACAAGCCACCACCTTACTTTGAAGGAGTAGGCGAATGGAGGAAAGACGGTGCGAACGGTGGCGCCATCCTCATAAACCTGGTGCACGATGTGGATGTTTTGCAATTCCTGCTTGGGCCGATCGTCCGAGTGTCGGCTGAGGAAACGATCAAGCAACGAGGGTTCCATGCAGAGGAAGGTGCAGCCATACTGTTGAAGTTTCAGAGCGGCTGTGTGGGAACATTCATCGTCTCAGATGCTGTGCCCTCGCCTCATAACTTTGAGTCTGGCACTGGCGAGAACCCCACGATTCCTGCGACCGGCATGGATTTCTATAGGATCTTTGGAACGGAGGCGAGTCTAAGTGTGCCGGATATGAAGAGGTGGAGTTATGATGGCAGAGACAAGAGTTGGACACAAGAGCTGAAGGAAGAATCTTTGAGTGTCGAGGGGAGCAAAATTCCATTTGAGTTGCAGGTTGAGCAGTTTGTCAACGTCGTCAGAGGTGAAGAGGAACCAATGTGCTCGGGAGAAGATGCCGTGAGAGCCTTGATTGTGGTTGAGGCAGTCAAGAAAGCCATGAAACAGGGAACAGCAATTGACATTCCTTGTTAGGGACGACCTTTTAAGCTGTCTCTCTTGAAAACATCAGACTCTTATCACCTAGTGTTACGCTTCATCGGCACCAGATAAGCTAGAGCAGAAAATCCGGCGTTCGCAAACATGGCGCAGCCGGTGAATATAACCAAAGCCTTGTACTTTCCCAGTCCATACCCGTGCATGTCAATGTCCGGGCTCAAGAGTGCTCCACTAATGGGACCAGCCAGGACATTACCAATGCCCTGCGCGAAAGAGAAAAGACAGAACATGGTCATGGTATCAGTCTGCTCAGAAGCTACAGCCGTACCCATTCTCACTCTCATAGCGAGAAAGGCATATGCAAAGAAACCATAGATCAATGCAAAGACAACCAGTGTAGCCAACGACGTGGCCAAACCCCAGAGTGCTAGAGCAACGATAGTCAACACCAGCATGGTTGATAGCAAGAGGTTGTTAAGCGAAAAGCGTGCGTCAGAAAGGTGGCCATACGTGAATTGTCCTAAGACCGAGGACACATTCATGAGCGCGATCAGCGTGGCGCCGAACTTGGATTGCATACCGGCCGTCGCAACGTAAGAAGGCAGATACAAGCTTGGTAGATAAAAGCCCAAGCTCTGTGACATCGTAGAGAAGATATACAACCAGAAGATAGGTTTCCTGATGAAGCTCCAGTCCGTCTTTGCAAGACTGCTGCGGTGGGAAGCGGGCAGTCGTCCCTTCATTGATGGAAGTAGAGGACCGGTCATGACGATCGTCGCAATCGCCATGGCTCGTAGCGTCGTCTTGTATCCGTACTTTTGTAGCAGAGCTTCGATGATGAATGGATATGCCACCCCAGAAGCACCGGATGAGCCGAGTAGGATGCCCCATGCTAGGCCTCTACGAGCGACCCACCATTGGTTCACCATGCTAACGACAGGGTAGAAGATGACAAGGTAACCAACTGTGCAACAATTAAGCCTCTGGTTTCTTGGGTGTCGGCGAGTCAGACTTACCACCGTACATTACACCCTGCGTAACAATTAAAGCTCCTATGGTGTCTGCAAAACTGCCTGCTACCATACCTGCGAGACAGATGATCCAACCAGCAACGACCATGTGTCTCTGATACATCGGGAACCTCTTCACCAGAGGTGCCATCAACGGTGCGCCCATGTAGACGATACCAGTAGCTATACTTCCAATGTAGGTGATATACGGACTGCCTTCGAATTCTGGCAAGCTGGAGTAATACTCTTGGAAGATGCCAAAGGAAAGAGGAAATCCCCAAAGGATGGCTTCGAACATGAATGCGGCCAACAGGACGCGCCAGGCTTGGATACCGCCGTCGACTGGAGGAAGCGTTTGGTCTGGCGAATTGTGCTCATCGTGAACGCCAATCTCCGAGCGGGAGAGCGCGTTGTTCAGATCCTGCAATTCGTGAGAAGTCGCAGCAGTCGTCATGGTAGATATCGGTGTAGAGTGTGTCATTTGCATGCGTGAGAATATTCGGTTTTGATGGATGGCTCTTGTCGTTGGAAGGGCGCGTTGTAGATCTGACAGCATTGTTCAGACGGTGGACCGACCGAGCTGGAGACTCGTGTTGCGTATCGCGTATCGCGTATATCGTTGTATGCAAGTAGAGTACCGTTCATGCGCAGGATTCGTCTGCTGAGACCTTCATATGCTTTTCGCGTGAGCGTTCACGAGTGGTAAAGGGGAAGAATAGTAAAATACTAGGAGCGCTTGCTGGAAGGTGTCGACATCTCCTCGCTATAAGGAGGCGGCAGCTGCATCTGCACAGCTTCGCCAGAATGTCTTGTTCCAATGTACGGAGGGTTAAGATTTGGCTCGTCCAGTCCCCATTCGTGTATTCTGCTCGTCCCGAACTGGCCTTGTCTCGCATCGCCTTGAAGTGACAAAGTTTCATGCAAAGCGTATCTCGCCATGGCTTTCATGAAGGGTGGCCTTTGACTGATGTCGTCCTCTAAGGTGATCGCACCTTGTTCGCCATCTACAATAGCATGTTGGACACGCAAGCTCCAAGTCATAGGTTTTGGACCTCGCTGCACATTTTGGATTGGCGGTAGGGTACGAGGAGTTGGGCTTCGAGCTTGTGGTTTGTTCCACTTGTATCTCCACACAGCCTGAATGCTGATACTAGGCTTGTCAGACGTCCAATATTCGGATCGCAAGACGTCGGAGATACGGTCGCTTTCCAGTTTTAACCTGCCACCATATCTTGCAAGCCTAGCCCATTGTTGGTAGCGGGCGTCCATGCCCTCAAGATTGGTGAAGACGTTGTCAAACGAGATGCTGTGTTCTGTCAGGGTTATGTGCAGCGTTTTTGAGAGGCGAAGATAAAGACCTGTTGTCAAGATTGGCAATACTGTGCAATCTCTCACTCGCTTGTCGCACAAGTCCTTGCTCATTGATGGTGTCGTCAGCTCCTCCGGTCACCATGATGACTTCGTCTGCAGCATTCGTGGTCGTTATCTCGAACATTCTCAGCTCGACGAAGCCCGAGCATCCAGCCATGAAATTAAAGTCAAGAACCTCTCGAGTGGTGAGCGTCTTAGCATCCATTTCGTTGTGTCGTCCGGAGAAGCGCATTGGCGAAAGCTTCTGTCGCTTGATCTGGCCAGTGAGCCAGTCATGGATGCGATGGTAGGTCATTTGTGCGAATGTGACTTGTGCTGAGTCTAGAGCGACCAATACACGAGCTACGTTTATGTTGCTTGTTGTCGTGGGTGGAAAGTCGCGAGCAAGCCAGAGCGCGATCGGTGGGTCGCTGCTGCCTGCTTCTCCGCCCGAAGGATTCAGCACGCCTCTACGCCCGTATGGAAGCGACGACGAGAAGCAATGTCTCTTCTGTTGTAAAAATGTGCAGCGCTTCTTATGAAGATCGACCATACACTTTTCACGAAGGCACGATGTCATCCCTACCTATGCTATGTTGAGTTGCATACATGTTGAATTGTCATTGCCGACTTAGGGGTGTCAAAATGGAAACGAGTCATGTAGCGCTCGGAAGTCGCGCCTTGATTCGTGCCGATCGTTGAGAACTGGTGACAAAGGCGAATCCGGCAGTTGCAAAAGTCGCGGAAGATTACTTTCCCCTGATCATGCCGAAATTCAGACTTTCGCTGTTTCTTGCCGGTCACACGAATCGCAGGATCACATCATATTGGAAATCAGTAGTCCAATTGGTTCACATGCTCAAGCGATGAACCCAGACGCTATTGATCGCGAGTCCGCCAAGATCACGAAATTCACGTGCGGGACATCTACTAAATCCTCCGAAGCTCCTGCGTTGCGTTCTCGTTGCTATCGTCTCAACATTGTGACGTGACTAAACAAGAGCTAATCATACTTCTGAGATCTCATTGATCTCCGTCAAGGATCCTGGGATTCGGCATCTCGATTTCGCGACACAATCTTTGCGCTAGTTGAAACTGGGGCCCCATGGTATGGCGACAGTAAACTGTAAGAATGTTTAAAAGATTGATTTGCTCGGCGCATATGGGGCTCGTCGGAGTCCAAGGCTGACCGAGCCGAACGGCGAGGCTGCCGATTCAGCCCGAGTGGACACCCGACGTACACAGACCATGCACCCTCCACCACAGCGCACGCTTCTCTTAGGACATATATTGCTGCAATCTCATAACAGGCACCTTGTTTAGCGTCTTCAACATACTCTAACCTTGACGACTGTTTCCAGAAAACCAGTAATATGGACAAAGAATTTAAGCCGCTGGAGCCCCAGCAACCTTTTGGCAGTTTTGTCTACAAAAAAGTTGGCAATACGACCATAAGTCTCGATGTTTTCCTGCCAGACAATCTGGAGTCTATAAGCACTGAAGTCCGTGTCTTTCTCTTCATCCATGGCGGGGCCTGGATAGCAGGCAATCGAGAGAGTTACTGTCGTCCGCTCTTCGACGAATTTCTATCACGAGGCTATGCAGTTATCACGGCAGACTATCGACTTGTCCCTGAGTCAAGCTTCCAGGAACAACTCGAGGATATCCGTGATCTGGAGCAGTGGATTAGACAGGATTTGCCCGAAGTACTCGCCAATCGTCAGAGAGGGGTGAGATGTGGAGACATAATCGTTGCAGGAGCTTCAGCAGGTGCTCATGTTGCTCTTCTTGTAGTAAGTACCAGAAAGAGCTTCTCATCATATTCAGCCGCTTGGATATGTTCTAATGCATAGCAGCCAAAACTGTGGAAGACTTGCCCAGCAGCCATTCTGACCATCTCCGGGCCCACAAACATGCATCAACTTCCATATCGAGCCATGGGTCCTTTGGCTGGACTGGAAATAGCCATTCCAACATCTGAGTCACTGAAAGCCGTGACGAACTATGAGCATCCACCAAGTTCAATGCCACGATCGAAAACACCTCAGGAATGGCTCAATGACCGCACGAAGCTAGGATTCTACATCTTCCGCGCCGAGATTGTGGCAGCTTTATTGGTCCGAGGTCTCGTAAGACCCCCAAATTCTACTGATCTAGCACTCCCAATGCAGTCAGAGGTATCCAAAGAAGAAATTGATCAGATTTGTAAGTTCCGCAGCTTCGCGCGCATCAGAGATTCTCGGTTCAGGTCGAATTTTTGACATCCATCTTCTTCCAGCTCCCTTATTCTTATGTCAAAGCATACGATACCCGCCAGTATATCAGATCATGGGATCTGAAGATAGCGTCTTCGAGTGCTCACACGTCACTGAATTTGCGGCTGCCTTGGATGAACAAGGTGTGCCTCACGCAGAGCACATCGTACAAGGAGCGGATCATGCCTTCGAGATGTCCACCAAACCAGGCGACACTTATCACCTGACAGTGTTCAAACCGGCTGTCGAGTGGATTTGTCGTTACGCATAAGGTGTTACTCAGACTTTCCAGGGGCTATCCTGGGGGGCATTAAGGTTTCACTCAGACTCCCGAAGCTTCATTGTAGGATGGTGGAGGTGTTGCTTAGACTTCCGAAAGCTGGTTGCTAATCTCGTTCTCGACATACTGAAGGTACGCATGCACCTCAGCAAGCTCACCCTACGAACAATAGCAACACCTTCCACAATGACTTTCCTCCCTCTTCTCGCGGCACTTGCGGCCGCTGCACCCGCGATGGTTTTGATGAACAAGAGCTCATGCTTGGATGTCGAGACTCGTTGCGATTGTTGTGTCAAACGGAATCTTGGACCTACTCAGGTCTGTCTATCAGTGTTTGATCCATCATCGCGCGAAAGCTATTTTTGCAGGATCCGACTGATAGATCTAGCCGTTTGAAGAAGCTCAGGAAACTTCGTCTTGGTTTCAGCTATTTGATCCGTTCCATTGCTGAGGCGCCATGGTATCTTCGATCCGTAGCTCGCCCCCTTGTGGCGATTTTCTCAAGCCATGATTATACACGCCAAGGATACTTGCAGACTTCGTATTGCATTGCCCTGATACTCCAGAGATGAAATCGGCGTTTGTGACAGCCGCGCTGAAGATCGAGGAGTCCATGCGACTACTTGAACTGTCACAATGATCTATAAAACCGTTTGTTAATCGTCTGACTTCCAACGTCTGCTCACCCCACGCCCGACCTCCTGGATCGTAACATTCCTTTATTCAACGGCGAAGCAAGCAAATGGGCTTGCATAGCAACGCTCAATGATAAGGATCGGAGCTAGTTTCTCAACTGTCTCACCGGTACGTACGTGAACTGAAGATAAGTATGCGGTTCCCCCACCCCTGTTCGCGCGAGCATGTCATGGCAAAATCGTCGCCTTGCAACATACTAATCTCTCGACTTTTTGAAACACGACAAGTCTATCATGATGGTGCCAGACTCAGCAATTGTTGGCTTTGTGTGGGTGCTGACCGCCATTTCTGGCATCATCGTTGTCGCCAGGAGCGTCATGAAATTTCTACGATTCCGAGGTCTGGCTTGGGAAGACTCCCTGATGATAATCTCGTTGGTATGCAAGGGATACCCTTTTCTGACTGCTCTCAACGAAGTCGCCACGCTCGGTCGCTGATTGGCACAATCACAGGCTCTCGCCGTTGTCTACGGCACATCCACCATTCTTCTCTACGATCTTGGTCTGAAACAACATACCGCTTTCTATTCGCCAGAATTCGCAGAATATCTCTACCTCTGCCATGCTGTGGGCTTTATGGCACCCATGTTCAGTCGTATCTCGTTTTGCCTGTATATGCTGCGCGTCCTCAGCACGACTTCTGTCACCAGAAAACGCCTCATATACGCCTTCATCGCACTGCAACTCGCTGTGAACGTACCCGTCAGCATTTTCGTCTTCACGCAATGCGGCAGCTTCCAAGAGTTGTGGCAGCATGGAATAGCGCAGCCCTCACCTTCATGCGTGCGCCATGACATCATCAAGATTTTGGCCCTGGTGGCCGTAGTCTTCAACGCCGCTACAGATCTCTTCTTGACCATTCTACCGGCAGTCGTGGTCTGGAGTATCAAGGTCATGACTGCTCGTGCTCGCCTCGGCCTTGCAGCGACTTTGGGATTGTCATTCTTCGCTACTATTGCCAGTGTGATCAAGATCTGGTGTGTGTATGCTCTGTACACTTACAAGCCCTCCCTCGAGACAGTTGGCAGGTTGGTCATTGTCATGGGTGTCGAGATCAATGTGGTCATTATCGCTGCATCCATCCCAGTCCTCGCACCACTGTTTTTGCAGAAAAGTGGAACGAACAAGAAGAGAATGTATAAGGAGCCTGAATTGAAGACGTACGACACTGGTGCCGAGAGCGCTGCGACGAAGGACATTTCGCTGCAGTCGAGCAATACACTTGGTACTTCTTCAAGCAAGACATGCAATGGTTCCACACAAGGCAAAAGTGTCATTACGAGGACGATGGAGGTGTCGTCGGAGGATAGAGAAGCCGTATGATTATTGCAGGCTTCTGGTCTCCTCAAAGAGTTCCTGGAAGCAGTGTGCGGTGACTACATATCCCCTGCCATTCAAAATATTCTCCATCAACATGTCATGCAGCCCTTCTTTAGCGTCGGCACACCCATCTCTAATGACAGTAACAACGAACTCCTCGTCTGTAGCCTGCAATGCTGTCCTCAACACGCATCCCGAGGTACTCAGTCCAGCAAGTACCAGCGACTTGATCCCTTTCTCGGCCAGGAGTTCCATCAAGCCAGGTGATTTGAGCGCAGAGATATGTCCAGCTTGTCGCGTGTAGGTGAGGTTGCCTTCCTTGCCATCTCCGAGTAATTCTGCAGGCTCGACCGTGGTGTCCGTTGACTCCATGGCGGACATAATAGTATTGTATCGCGTTGCTTCCTTGCATGTAGGGAAGGGCGACTTGGTTGTGTTGATCAAGGCGTGGATCACAAGAACGCAGCTTCCTTCACTGGAGTGGAGGGCTTGTGCGATTCCAGAAAGATGACAAGGATGACTACAATACACTGGACCCCGGTTCTGAATTTCTGATTCTTGGTCTCGAAAAGTTTCGGGTCGTCATGACTCGAAAAGATCCAAGGAATATTACGGTAGGCTACGCACAGACTAAAGCCTTCCACCGGCTGTCATGGACCAGCCCATCTGCGCTTCCTGTTTCTGCGCATTCGGAGGTTGCTCGTGAGAAACACCCAATGGCTGCAACCGAGCGAAATCCATTTCGTAGCGAGGAGCTGAGCGACCGTTACATGTCGACATGCTGTTCGGAGGATCCTACTCAGCTACCGGTATTCAGCCACCCCGAGCAGTTTGCAACAACCAAGCTGAGCCATTGACACCCTTCGCGAACGCGAAGTACGACAACGGGATTGAAAAACTGTTCTGCTTGCCAGAATTGCAGAAAAGACTTCTGGAATATCTTCTAAGATACAGTACCACTAAGAGTAACGAGTTTCTCACCGCGAATCGTTCTTGCGAATGCCGGGGCGCCGTCGATTTCGCTTAGACAGGTCACAGGTAAGCTTCGAGCGTTATTATCGGCAGAAGCTTGTCCTTGCTTCAACTAGCTTAGCAGGCTTGTACAGAAGCGGGGGTGCACTAGATTACCGTTGCGACACATTGGACAACGACCGTTTGCCTCACTTCAGGTCTGCTTCGCTGCCGGTATGTCTGATTTCGCAGTATGGATCTCTCGTAGACTGCTCTCCCTTCAGCGCTCACCGTCAATATTCTGTTCAGAGCTAAGCCGTCGGCCTCATGGCGAAGCAATCTTCTAGTCGTTCTAACGTCGAACGAAATGAGTCTCCAGGGAGGCTTCGCGATGACAGCCCACCGGCGACCTCGTATTCTTGTTGACAGAGCAATCTCGAGATTCAAGAGGCGCCTGTAATCCATCCTCCAGTGCAACTACGGGGCAGTCAGAACAGCTATAAAGATGATTGAGCAACCCACCCAAGATCAGAGCAACAAAGCGACTTCGACACCTCGACAACACTTCAACTCAGAAGTACTTATCTCCTCGTTCTAGCCGACATGTTCGGACATTATCCGATCCTTGGGGGTTTGAGTCTCGGACTGATTGCGCGCGTCTCAGCCAAACCTCTGAACATCAATGGCACAACTCTCGGGCCCATCACCAATGTTTCTGTAACAGATGTCATCACAGCAAACATAGTGGACAGTGATGAGATCATAAACATCACTGTGCTGCCTGAGAGCGGACCAATCGCAGAGAATGCGGCCGCCCCACTTGCTGGTTCGCAGCTCTCCAGTCTTATGACGACCACTGTTCAGCTCGCCGTGGCCTCCACGACTTCCTTTGCTGATCAGTATACGAGTACTGTCACCGATACCGCGCCTCAATGTGCTCTGGGCTCTGTGAGTGGTTCGCCAGCCACCAGTAGCGCTATGATCGCAGGTCAAGCTCCTTTCGCGACCGCAGCATCATCTAGCGTACCCGTCGCATATGCAGCTTCGACTCTTCTCCCGGCTGTCCATTGGGATTATCCCACCAACGACTTGCAGAATCTCGCTCCAGCCAACGGTTCCAACCTCTACTACTCCTCTGGTGGCGTGTCTGATCCAACGGTCCAGCATCTCTTCGGTGCACTCTCGTCTACCTTTCAGTACGATGCCGTCGTTCTTGACCATTCTTCCTATGTCGCCAACACCTCCTGTTCTTCTGATGGAATTCTGGTCACCTTCACATCAACTGATGCTTACAACTTCGCGTCAAGCAGCTGGGCAGCTGCATCGTCCGGCTTTGTTCTTGTGACTTATACAGATGGTTGTCACGGAGCTTCTAATCAGCAAAGAACGTTTTGGTTAATCAAGTCACTCGAATTTTCACCCAATTCTCTTTCGATCATCGCCGAAGTTGAGACCGAAGTGGCGATCGAGAATGCTCTTAGCAACGTCGACTTCCAATGGGGTACATACTATCCTCCCAAGGGTAATTCCACTGCATCATCCAGCAGCACCACGTCCTCCATCGCTGGAGCACAAACATCCTCTTCCGGCCGTCCCAGTCCTTCTAGTTCTTCCCGCGGATCAACTAGTGGTGCTGTTTGTGGAAACGCGCCTTCATCCATCATCGACGGCTTGCCTGCAGCAAACTGTGGTGACGCCGACTTCGACATGGAACTTGATACTGCCATTGGCTTCCTTCAATTTGACTCGGAGTCTTCAGATGCTGCTAGCTTCGAAGAATTCCTACCCGGTGATGTATTGAATGCCACTCAGCTCGCAGACCTCCAAGACAGTCGCACCCTATCGAGGCGTACGAGTTTGCTAGGAAAACGATCATTGTGGGATGTACGTTACATTTTGATCTCAATGCAGGGCTCTATACTAACTGGACTTAGGATATTTCCGACGGAGCTTCATCTGTGTTTGACACTGCCGTCGATGCTGGGGCTCAAGCGATTCAAGCCGCCAAGGACCTGGCCAATGAAGCTGCTGCGAAAGCCGCGCAGCTCGCCAAAGATTTGACAGAGCTTGACCCATCTATCAGTGCATCGACGGACTTCAACTTCGGCCCTGACGCCAATGCAGACTCACCTTGGGGCAAGGCCGCACAAGTTTACGCAACGAGTGCATCGACCCAGTCCGGAGCGGGCAGTGCCGATGTGACTATCTACTGCGTGGATTGTGGCATCAAAGGACATGTTGCTCTTGCAGGTCAGGTGAAATTCAACATCGTCGATGGTCTCCATTCGCTGAACGCTAATATCAACGCCAATCTCGAGGCTGGCGTCAATATTGGCCTGGTCGCAAACGCTCAATATTCGAACACCAATACCAGACGGCTCGTGGAACAAGCTCTTCCGGAGGTTGGTGTCTCTGTCGACAGTATTTTCTCTGTTGGCGTCTTCTTGACTGTGGACGCTGTGAGTACCGTCGACGTTTCCGCTACGGGACAAGCTATTGTCGGTGTGACCATGACGATACCCGATTTCGAAGCTAAGCTCGATTTGTTCGATCAGAACAGTGCTGGTGGTTCTGGCGTTACAGGGATCGAACCTATCTTTAACAAGCGATTCGAGGCTACCGGCAAGATCGCAGCTTCTGTGCAACTCGCTTTGCCGATTGAGTTCAACTGCGGCTTCGAAATCCCAGCCTTGAGTCTGAAACGCGCAATATCCTTGATCGAACGACCAAGTCTTTACGGAAAGCTTACTGTCGCCGCAAGCACTAGCAATGTCGACCCTGCAAGCGAAACCTGCAACAACGGTATCGAGTATTTTGCGAATGGTAAGCTCGTCGTCTAGAGTCACATGTATACCACTAACCTTTGCACCAGTCCAAAATGATCTTAAGTTTGACTTCCTCGGCTTGCAGACTTTCGATCTGAATCACTATGAGTCGCCTCCTCTCTTGCAGGGTTGCCAACAGTGAGTCACACATTGACCATCGATGACTATACGAGACTGACACTATGTAGCTTTACTTCCAACGATATAGCCAAGAACGATCTTTCGTTGTCAGCGCCTGCTATCAAGGGACTGTATGCAAACGCGACTGGCAAGACTGTGACTCCCAATCTTGATCAACCTGGGTCTACAAGTCGACGCTACGCCTTTGTTCGCCGCGACAACACCACCTCCACAACCAATGACAACGGTGATGTGATCGACGATGAGCCTCAAAATGACTTCCACAACACGGACACCTCCGACGAGACGACTGGCACAGTCACCGACGACTCTACAGACGCGGATGGAACGGAATACCAGGAGAGTGCTAGTCAGGCCCTTGAACTCGCGGCCGATGCCAAAGCCCAAGATGGCATCATCTTCACCACGCTCATCGATTCCCAGAAGACCTTCCAGATTGCACCAGCTCAAGATGGTAATCTCTACGCAATCTCTACGCAATCTCTTACTCGGAAGGACCCACTAGCGATGCTGGTCTATTTGCCACAGCAAAGAATCTCATCTTCGGCGATGATCAGGACCGTGTTCTGCTCTTCTACCCTGAGGAGATTGGAGCATACAATGCAAGTCGCATTAGACTTGCTCCCGTGTCGGCTGTACCAAAGACCGCCCAGATCATCACCTTATCTCAGCTACCAGGCGCTAGTGCATCCTCCAGCACATACTTTGCTTTCTCGCTCGAGAAAGAGATCTATAACCTGGTTCTTTGCAACTTCGACAACGGTGCTGCCAGCAAAGTCTTCCTAGTCTCTGGTCAGTCTGGCCTTGACTCGCTTCAGAAGAATCCCGATATCAAGTACACGATTACTGGAGCTCCTGTCTCTAGTTGCGCACCTCTGTCACTCGCCAATGGCGGTAACGGTGTGGTCTAAACGAGAGCCTCGTTGACTCATCTCTTTCGTATATCTCTTTTGTATTTCTCTTTTCTCTTTCTCTTTTCGTACATTCTTTCTTCGCTCATTATCTTACCTGCTGTAATAATCTGTCTGTTTACCGCGTAATTTCTGGATTCTTACAAGTTTTTGATAATTTTCTTTTCATCTTAATCATCTCCTTAAATACAGTTCGTTTTCACTTCCATTGAACCAAATCCCCGTTGAACCAGACACGCAAAAGAGGAAGTCGCCTCAACTCACTATTCGAGTCAGATTCTAGCATCTAGGTCAGCATTTCTGCACCTAGTTTAGAGATCTGAAATAGCTGGCTTGGAGTGGATATGGGAGCTATGATCGCATCTCCCAAGCCTTGACTGAAACTTTACACAGAGCGCATCTGCAAGAACGCGCGGAGCCTCACCTGGAGTCATCCTCAAGAGACCGAACTGAACAGAAATGTGCTCATGATCTGTGCTGATTGAACGATCCGAACTGACCTTTGGTCGACAGCTAAACGGAAATAGAGATCTTGGCTAGTCGCATCAACCTTGAGTGGTCGGCGAGCGTGCTTGAGGGCTTGATCGTGGCGACCGGTGCAGTGTAGAGTTGAGATTGATCGCGAGGCCTCGTTACTTCTAAGTCTAGAACTAGCGAACGAAAGTAGTCACTCGGCTGGAAGGACAGTGGTAATCCTCGGCACTCGATCAGAAAACCGAACGTACGTTCTCATCTGCGAGCTGAATCCTGACAACCAGATGGCAAATCTGCAGATCTGCAGACATTGAGTGATAAACAGACCGCGGCCTTGATCAATGCTCGGAGTTTTGCGGTTCAGCTATTTGCGGGAGCAACCTGGCGTCTTGAGACAGTATTCCACAGGCCAAATGGTGGCTTACGTGTGGAGCTCGACATCGTTGAGCTCAGTTGTTGTTGCTGCGGAACCACATGCAGGAACCAGCCGGCAGACTATTGAATCTTGCTGTAGAGATGTGACTGCTTTGAAACACGCGTAAGCTCGTATCATCCGCGAGCGATAGATATGTATGCGTCACATAAACGACTTTGTCAATATTCTGACCTTCTCAGGCCATACTGCAATCGAATATTGAGCTATCCAGGATACCCGTATATCCTTGTTGTGCATCGGATGAGGCTAGCATTGGCTCGATATCTAGAGTGCACCGTTACAACATGGCTCTGTAGCAAGCCTGCTGAAACGATATCGGTGATTCCGAGCTGAACAGCGGTAGACTAGTGAAAAACAAAGTCTCACTCGATACGTACACCCACTACATATATAGCCATCGCTCAGCTCTTGGAGTGGTTTGTTCCACCATATACTCCTTCCACCATGTCGGAAAGCTTCAATTCAGACGCCAACCAACCTTCTCTTACCCAGGAGCAATGCGCCTGGTGGATTACTCATGGAGCTCAACCTCGCGCTAACTCGGAAATTTCTGGAATCGGCGTAGTCGTCGCATTCGTACTTAGTGCCTATATAACCACCGGACTTGCTATAGCCGCTTATCTGCTGGGCGCAATCGACAACAAAGTTCTTGGTCCGGTAGACCTTCTGGTGCATCGTATACCGACTCGATCTAAAATCTCCCCTGCCTGGCGCGAGGCAATTCAGCAATGCATTCTTTTGTTTAGTGATCAGCAGATCATGACTGGAATTGCCATTCTGGTCGCTGGATTCCTCGGTCTTTCTGGAGTTATGGACGTCTACCATTTTCAAATCGTCATCATGCTTGGGTGGATGTCTAGTTCAGTGAACTTGACTGCTTTGATTGTTCTTGGGAGATACTTTGAAGAACATAAAGCAGTCTTCATGTGGCGTCTGGCCGGCATGTTAGTGCTACTTATCCTTCTTCTTGTCGCTCTTGTTCCCACGGCATCCATTCGCTGGGCCATGTGGCACACGGAGGATGGGGATCCTGAGGAGACTTCTGGCTGGGCTATACCTGCTGGCTGCTTTTTCATCCGTGAATGGGGCCATGGCTTCAGTCCTGATGCGCCGTTCTCATATGTGCTGCTGATCGTCTCCTACGTCTGGAAAATCGGGTCTGTCTCCAAGACTACTAGATCACTCTTCTTGCAATGGATCCGGGAACCGATCGAAGGATACCTCGGGAGTTTGCTTTTGAGAGAAGCTCAGGCGCGAGACCCATCTGTTGCGCAGGGGATGACGTGGAGACATCGCCTCTATCTGGTCCTTTACATTGATCTTCTCGTTCTCTTCGAATTCGCTGCGTCTTTCGCGGCGTCGCTTTGGTTATCTGCCATTGGTCTGCTCTACGCTACGACAGAGATTGTCATTCCTAGACATCAGAACGCGAAGCATTTCGCAGAAGAAGATGAATGGACCTTTGGACAGATCGTTCCGATCATTCTGTTACTCCAGCCAATAGGAGCGGTACTGGAGCTATACCGTGGTGGTCATAGGACAAAAGCAACACCTGACCCGAGTCTGCCGGTCGATGATCTCGAATTATCAGTTCCAGAAGACCCAGTCGATCATCAATTGTCTATCGAGCCTACAATCGAGCCCAGACAAGGGAATCTCGAGAAAGCAGAGGCACAAACTGTCGTCGTCGTCTCGCACGCAAGCCAGGCCGAAGAGTCTGACTGGTTGACACGTCAGCGCATGACTATATTGTCTTCTAGGACCTTCGCTGCGCTAATCATCTTGACACATGTTTGCCTCCTCACGTTCTCGATTCTTGCATTCTACATCAATGCACTTAGCATCGGTTTCGAAGTTACCCATGACTGGATCTGGATGTTGATGGGTACAGCGGTCTATATCGGGATATTGATAACTATCACCATTATCTCGATCTGCTTTGATAATGTCTCTAGATAGCCTGTTTGAGAGCATCCTATATTCTAATATGTATCGTGGCATTGGAGCCGAAAGCTCCATATGACAAGTTAATGCAACATATATCCTCCCAACATATACATATCCACCTCCCAACATCTGCATATCCACCTCCCAAACTCTGACGCAAATGCAAGATTCTCATGCAGCCCCTCATGGAGCATCCGTCAACTCGAGCTTTATCGCTAAAGACGAGCCTCTCTTTAGAGAAGACGACTCCTGCGATCATGAGCACGACCACCGCCAGGCGCATGAGAAAGACTGATATCCCAGCGCCTTAGCTACGGATAGAGATAACCACAGAAATGAGTCGCACGTAAGCGCGTAAAACCGTCCCTGACTTTGCAGGCATGTGATTGGCGGCATCCAGCTTGGCAGATCGGAGACGATCGGGTCTGTCGCAAGAGTTGCACAGACGATAGCGTCTATCGTCCAACTGCGGGGTCGGCGATAGCATACGCTCAAGGTCCAGTGACATGAACACTTGAGTAACTTCTGAACAATGATATGAACCAGAGTATCATCGCCAGATTTGTCGCAGCATTACTTGCATCCCCTACTCTGACAGGATCATACCACAGCCCGTCAAAGAACAATGGCTCACAGCACTGCGACTCTCGAGGTGGAAGATAACGACATAATCAACGATCAGAACCAACCAGCCAGCGATGAGCACAGCAAACTGCGTCGTGTACCCGATCGCATCCCATGGGTGGTTCTCCTCATCCTCATTGTCGAGCTAGGCGAACGCTTCACCTATTTCGGACTGAGCGCCCCGATCCAGAATTACATCAAGTGTGTAAAGACATTCAATCTCCATGGTATCACGAAGACTAACGAGCACAGGAACCCACACGACCCTGGATCCGATCTGCCGGGTGCGCTAGGCAAAGGCCAGGCTGTAGCGACCGCATTGGGCAACTTCTTCAAATTCTGGGCCTATGCTTCTACAGTCATCGGTGCCATCATTGCAGACCAATACCTTGGCAGATTCAAGACTATCGTCGTAGCATGCGCTGTGTACATCGTTGGTCTTTTGATCCTGGTCACAACCGCAACTCCGGCAGGTATCCATTCGGGTGCAGGATTTGGAGGTCTGATCGCTGCCATGGTAGTCATTGGCCTAGGCACTGGAAGCATCAAGGCCAATGTCACTCCAATGTGTGCTGAACAGTATCGACTTGACACGGCTTACACAAAGCAGCTCAAGTCCGGCGAATGGGTCGTCGTGGATCCTGAGCTGACTGTAGAGCGCATGTTTAACTGGTTCGTCGCCAGGTATCTGCATGCAAGAACAAGAGGCTGACAGGATTCAGGTTTTACTGGGCAGTCAACGTTGGCGCACTCTCGCCATTGATCACTGTCAACATTGAAGCACAAGTTTCCTTCTGGGCTGCGTACCTGATCCCTTTGGTGTATGTCCGCACAGTATCCTCGTTGGAGCCTGGAGATCATCAGCTGACCCACAGTAGTGTCATTGCCATCGCCGCAACCGTGTTTATTCTGGGTAGCAAGCGCTTTGTGAAGACGCCTCCTCACGGTTCAGCAGTCATCGATGCTGTCAAAATAGTGACTATCGCAATGAAAGAGGGAGGCTTCGACAACGCACGACCAAGTGCTCTGCAGGCCCGAGGAGCGCTTGAACGCCACCACTTTGCTCAGTCGCCCAACTTCACTGACAAATCCGTCAAGGATGTACAGTCCGGCATCACCGCTTGCAAGGTGTGTATCCATTTGAGATGTTCAGTTGAGAATATACAGTGGTTGACATGTCGACAGTTTTTCCTCTTCTTGCCCCTATACTTCGTCTGCTGGATCCAGATCTGGAACAACCTCATCTCACAAGCAGGAGCCATGGCGCTGCACGGCACCCCAAACGATCTATTGCAGAACCTCGACCCAATTGCTTTGATCATCTTCATTCCTCTTCTTGATTGTGAGTCCTGAGTTGAGCGAGGAAAAGGAGTAATAAACTAACGCATGAGCAAGTCGTGGTCTACCCATTGCTTCGCAAGTACAAGATCAACTTCAGCCCAGTCCTGAAGATGACTGCTGGTTTTATCATGGCTTCAATCTCAATGGTGTACGCAGCTGTGCTTCAGCATTACATATACAACTCGCCTCCCAACAGCATTCATGTTTGGATCCAGGCTCCAGCGTACATACTGGTTGCGTTCTCGGAAGCATTTGTGATCATCACTGGCTTGGAGCTGGCATACACCAAGGCACCGACGAGGTATGTGCTCGATCCATATCTTCCATCGCGAGATACACTGACACTGTGTTTTATAAAGTCTACGGTCCCTGGTCTCGGCCTTGTTCTGGCTTACAATCGGCATTGCAGCTGCGATATGTATTGCGCTTGCGCCTGTTTCTCAAGATCCGTACCTTGTCTGGATGTATGCTTCTCTCGGTATCGTCGGGTTTGTCGCCGGTTGTGGACTCTATCTTTGCTTCAGGAAATCGTTCGACGATGTGCCAGTCATCGCAGGGCAAGAAGCAGCGAACATGGAGCTTGATGTGGCAGGTGTGGCTGAGCATGGAGGCAAGCTTGCCGTCGAGGAAGGGAGGTGGCGAAATTGATTTGGACCCGACCAAGATGTGACTCGAAAAACGCTCTTCAGGTTCGATGACTTGATAGTATATGGGACCATGATCTCAATCATCTGTTCAATGCCGATTGTTGCAACTTTGTGGTCAGAACGTTGTCCAGTCCCTTCCAGAAAATGCTGTCGATGCGCAAAAGTGAGAACCGCAAAGCCTCGAGTGACTTTGACTGTAGTCTGATAGTCTTCCGAGCACGGTCAAGAGATATCTGGCATTCCGTAGCTTCCTCGGCAGTCTCCGCAGTTACGTGAAGCATCAGTGCAAGGTTGCAGAGAGTTGACCAAGCCAAAGTGCACCCTATGACGCTCGTCAGTGGCATTCTGCCTAGGACTGTGACGGACTTACAGAATGGCCAGAATCCCTGTATCCATCCGCTCTTCAGGTCGGCCGTGAATGCTATGAAGCTTGTGACGCATGCTTTTGCTCCGGCTCTCGACAGACGATGCGCTTCGAGTTCGCGTGCATCAGCTGGTACCGAGCTCGCAGCTCTAGGCGCATTGTGAAAGGGCCTCAATATGGCGCGGAATAGTAGTACTTTTACAAAGTGTCCACCAAGCAACATGGGGCCTGAGAGGTTGACGTCTTCGAATCTTGCTTCAGACTCAATCTCGAGCGCAACACCCGACCATCGGTTGAGCTCTTCCATAGACAGTTGTACGTTGCGCAACGTCATTTCGTAATCCCTGGCAAGGGTTTGGACCGCCTTGAGTGAACTGATCATGTACATCAGCTTCATGATTCCAAGGTTGACTACTTGACCACGCGTACTACTCACAAGAGTGTTATCAGTACCTGACGCAGGATCATAGTCAGCTTGTATATGTGCATAAAATGCTTTGGCATCGTAGTCTGTCTCTCTTGGTCGGAGAAGTCGGCGAGTCGTGGCTCCGGCACCAGCCAGTCATCTTCTCGGATCAGGCAAGTTCGACCCAGTGCTGCGGCATGCCAGACATCGATCATTCCAACAACCCATGACAAACGCTTCCGAAGCTCCATCTCAGCGGGCGCGACTTTCCAATGGCTAGCGTTGAATTGCAAGCCCAGAGTCTGCGAGATAGTCACCATTGTACCGACAAGTGACCACTTTGTCGAGTAGTCTGGCATCAACAAGTGCTGCGACGGAGCAACAAGAAGCAGTATCACTGTTTGTAAAGTCGCAAAATCAGGCTTATACAAATCTTGTTGTGTGGCAGACAACGCAAGGTTCCACAGCTTGGCAGTATCCGGTAGATCGTATGCTATCTGGACAGACAAATAGTCATCAAAGCCAGCGAACGAGAGTGCGACGAGATAGATGGCGGCAAGGAGGGATGGTTTCGAGGTTACGGGGTTTGGTGCTTGTGCAACAGGTATCACCGGAACATGAGGGTATACGTGTTGATAGAACCTACAACAGTCAGCCGTGCTGAACGCGGGTTTGTCGGGGAAGCGCAGTCCGTACAAGGACATCAGTCTGATACCAACGTCCGGGCTCACCAACTGCTCCAGATGGCCTCGAGCAGTGCTGTTGGCTGTCTTGTCTGCATCTCCCATGGCGTTACTCACAAGTAGTTGGACGGGATGGACGTCCTGCGACATGGATCGGACAGTGAGCCTTTTGAAGACAAAGTTGTTGTCAGAGTCAAACTTGTAACGTTGCATAAGATATGGATCCATGTCTCCGGTCAGACCGCAGACTATACTGGTTGTCTCTACGCCTGGTGGTAGACCTGCGGATGGCATGCCGGTCTGATCTGCTCCTACATCGTTGGGAGAGGCGTCCATGTAATCGAAAGGCTGTATACCGATATCCATCATAGATTGGTCGAACCAAAAACCATCTTGAACATCGTTCAGCGCACTAGGTAACGAATAGTCTGACGCAAAGTTTGCAGGATGATGGATGCCTTGGTCATTGATGTCGTTCGTCTCCAGCCCATCGCCGTTCAGCTGTCCGAACTGCACATCGTAGGCAGATGATGTATTCGGGAGCAATTCAACATCCATCGGATTTTCCGTTTCGGCAAGAACTTGGTTGGTGCCGCTTGGAGACATCTGCGACACGGGGACGCGGACGCCGCGTGTTGTTCGAGACGTCTTGTCGAAGGTGCATTCTCGCCCGGATAGTTGACAAAGCCGACACGGCGGAGACAAGTCGATTCGACACGCACTTTTACGCGCTCTGCAGCTGTCGCATGCTCTTTGCGACTTGCTCATGTATCTGCGCATTGCTGGAAGATCGAGAGGTGCGAAAGGATCAAAGCGAGAGCGCCGATTTGTGTCAGCTACCGCGTCATCATTGGCCAGGCTTGGCATGGCCACACCGTCACCCAATTTTCTTTCATGATCGCAGCTTCCATTACTGGTACATTACGAGTGGAGTATGTTTTTTCTTACAATCTCGCAAGCCCATCTCATCACGACCTGTCATTGTTGACTCGCATGCGGTGTCGCTTGGACGAGCGTCGGTCGCTGAAGCGCAATTGTACGATTCCGACGACCAGCACTGAGCATAATTTTGTCCACAACCTTAACATTGACATGACAAGGACCTATATACTGACTTTCACGGAGATCTGAATGAGGAGTCGATCAACTCAGGCCTCTAGAATCTACCGTCGTTAGACGACCTGCACCCTGATCGAGTTATCGAACACCATGCGCTTGTCTGAGAACCTCACAAGTGTCATCGAGGTACTCGCGACTTTTCGCCAATCCTTTCTCCGGATGGATATAATGTCCAAACGCATGAGGCATGCCTGAGTAGCATTTTTGGGTCACCTGGTTACCGCCTTCGACCAAAAATTCCCCGTACCGCTGCGCCTCGTCTCGACAAATGTCAAACTCGGCTGTGATGATGTGTGTCGGCGGAAGGTCCTTAAAAGACTTTGCCAGTATAGGAGAAGCCATCCAATCTCCCGATGCTGCTGCTCTAATCTCTGCGACTGCGTTAACTCCGTCATCCCGAACGATGGCCTTCAGTGACATACCTTCTGGGATCCAGTAGTCTAGGAACCATTGTTCCCTCTTCAGACCACCCCAAGGCGCGTCTTTGTACAGCTCTGTACTCGGGTACTGCTTTGCAACTTCTGAACGAACTGGTTCTGGTGCGATCAACCATCTGAAGTCAGTCGAAGGTACAATCATCAATGCAAGCTTCAATTCGAGCCCTGCGTCACGTGCCATGTGGGAGATGACAGCAGACATCTGCCCGCCTGCTGACAGACCGCCAATCGATATGCCTCTCGTGTCGACGTTGAGTCTGTCGGCCTGGGCTATGACCTGATGAACGTCAACCCATGATACAAGGTATGCATCTGCCAAGGCGTACTTACCCATTGTATGGCGTCCCAGGAGTCGAAGATCGCAGCTGGAAACACGAACTCGGGTGCCAATCGATAATTGACGTCGACGACCACGATTCCAGTCTTGTTACAGACACTACGGCACCAGGCGGCTTCACTCTTGAGACTACCCAGGATCCATCCTCCTGCCCTGTGGTCAGCAACACATCTCGATTTTGGAATGTGCAGACATACCTCCATGGTAGTTAAGATGCACAGGAAAGGGGCCATCGCCTTTCGGAGTGTATACTCGGATCTTGATCTGACCAGCAGGCCTTGTTACAGGTATGTCAAACTCCTCTTCCGAGTGGACTTGCGGCCCTATCGATCACTCAGTACTCGGATCATACACAAACGAAAAGCGGACTTACCGTCCCACGTTGGGTATGTAAAGCTGTATGCTGTAGGGTCTTTGCGAACTTCCTCGATCGAAACTTCCTCCGCTTGACAATGATGTCCACCATGAATATCCCATATCTTGGCCCATTCCGGGTCAAGCTTGTCAAGCCACTGTTCCGGAACTCGATGAGTCGAGTCTGCGACTACGAGCGTTGCGGAGGGGGTATATCTTGTCATGGCTGCCAAAACAGAAAGTGCGAATCGCTATTTGGGGCTCGAATTCAGCAACAGATATTTGGTTCTTGCCTACTATGCTGGCTTGTATTTCCGTTTGTCACGTCTGTCAGAAAGCATGGATCGGCGTCACCGGATCTGATAGGAGTGCCAAGCTGCGGCCGTGCATCCCTATCGGTATCCCCCGGTGCTGATAGGCGATTCAACGCCGACATCCCCGCACTTGCCTCCGCAGAGTGAACACCAGCTGCCTTCCGGGTGATCAGCGCATCGGCATCAGGGTAGCACCAGATGGTGTCGGCATCACCATGAACAGTCGGCTGATGTGAGGTGAGCAACACGGCAAGTCGACTCTTGCGATAAATCGTTCCTCCAGCTTATTCTACATTCTCCCACACTACCTTTTCGAGTCTTTACCTCGTTCCATCCTTTAGCGCCAACAATTCATAACTCAAAAGTGTGCAGAAGTATGTCAGCTACTATAGTTGTTGTCGGGTTAGTCATGATCTGTATACTCGTACTCGAATGTCGATCTAACCTTGCTGCTGTCAAGAGCGGGCGTGATAGGCCTGGATGTCGCTCTTATACTTGCCGAGAACGGATACGGTCATCTTACTACTGTGGTGGCGCAACATATGCCCGGAGATACCTCGATCGATTATACATCGCCGTGGTACGTTGCAGACCTGGCAAGCGAAGATGTCGCAGTGTGAGATGCAAGACTAACATGACAATAGGGCCGGAGCAAACTTTTCAGCGATTTCCGGAAGCGACAAGAATGCCCTCATCTGGGACAAGGCTGGCTATCAACGTCTGATGAGGCTGGCTTCGACAGAGGGACTCGAATCCGCCATCAGAAAGACACAGTCGTTCGAATACTGGGACGAGAAGCCTGCGGAGCAAAAGCTGAGCTCGCTTGCGGACTATCTTGAAGATGTGAGATGGTCAATCACTCCTGGTCCCCAGATCTGGTTAATGACATCGCCGACAGTTTACTGTTCTGCCTTCGGAAAAACTCATGCCAGGCGTCGCTTATGGTGTGTCTTTCACTACAGTGACTATCAACGCGCCTCGCCATATCCAGTATCTGAAGAACAAGCTTGAACTCCTCGGCGTTCAATTCTTCCGACGCAAACTTGATCATCTGGATCATGCTTTCCTCAGTGATCGTACGAAAGTCGTTTTCAATTGCGTTGGAAACGCTGCTCGACATCTGCCTGGTGTTCAAGACTCGAATTGCTTTCCGGTCAGAGGTCAGATCTTGCTCACACGGGCGCCACAGATCGAAACCAACGTCATGCGACACGGTAAGGACTATGAAACCTACATCATTCCCAGACCATACTCGAACGGAAACGTCATTCTTGGAGGCTTCATGCAAAAAAACAACGGGTGAGTTCATTCCGTACTTCCATCACGGTGACACAGCGCTGACATGCTGCGAAGTACCGGCGATACTTTCGCTCACGAGGCAGAGTCCATCTGGCAAAGGACTTCCACCCTCGAGCCATCTTTACACGCATCTGGTACAGAAGTCCTGGCAACATTTGCAGGCCTCCGACCAGGCAGACAAGGCGGTGCACGCATCGAGCTGGAAGAAGCTCAAGCTGGGCGTATAGTTGTGCACAACTACGGAGCTGGTGGAACAGGCTATCAGGCAGGGCTTGGTATGGGTATGGAAGCTGTTGGCCTTGCACTACCACACTTGTCAAAGACTCTGAGTGGGCAAGATGTTGTCGACCTCCATGCGGCCGAACAAAGCGCACGTAGAGCGAACCTGTAGATGCGGATAGGATAGTTGTGTAGATTCAGTGCTTGAATGGTCTCGCAGGCTGCAAAAGTGAGTTTCATATCGCTCGCGACATTGGCTCGAAGGTTAATACTACCATGGGCATCATCGGCTAATCAATGATCTGTGCATCCGCTTCATTCCTCCTTCTTTGTGCTCTTTGCACCAAACAATCTGGAGTCGTCGCTTGCAAACTGGACTTCGTCACGCGTGAGTCTATCGACCATGATCATGAAGGTATGCACTCCAATAGCAGTCAAGATATGCCACCAACCATGGAGCTCGAGCAGGATACCCCAGGGCAGCCCCACAGTCCGTTTGAGTATTGTGAGCTGCGCGCAGAAGATAGAATCAAGTTGCCAAAGCAGGTAGCCAAACACAAAGCAACCTAAGTAGTCCAATCAGCAAAGAAGACCAGCGAACGAAGGAAAGGGAGAAATGCATACCTGCACCAAAGATGACAGCTCTGTGTAGCATTTCCTTGTCCTTTGGATTATGCACACGGAGCTTGATCAGGGATCGGGTCTTGATCGCGACGACGACGATCAGAGAAACGAAGGAGAGCTCGTGGACCATCTGCTCATCTTTGACGGTATGATATCCTGTCTCAGCAGGGACGGCGAAAAGCAGTGAGCCACTGAACCAGCGAGTAAAAGATGCACTTCACTGTATGTCATTGCTCGATAACAGACTATCGAGGTGGCCACGATCATGGATGTATCATCGGCTGTAACAAAGAAGTGTTAAAGCTCTGCAGGTGATACATTTTCGGCATATCAACCCATGTGCGCATGATATGAAAGAAGTCCATGGAATAAACTTGAGCAAAGCCCCACCAGTCCGAGGCCATAGTAAATGCTCTTGGTAGACAATGACGCTTTTGCTGGCAGGCGATGTAGTCCGGGTGGCATAGATGACTACAGATAGAACGGTCAGCGCGTTGGTCTGACGTTGGAGCAGGGAAACGCACTGTAAGCAGCATTACTGCATGTGTTTATACAAACTCTGCAGTGAAGTCCACGATGATGAAATCCTCTTCGCAGAAACTACGCCATCAATCAGTATGCTGGACGTGTCAAGAGGTTGGATGACCTAGCATGCTGTCAAGGTAACAGAGTGGAACAAGAGATAAAATACTGCTGTCATGGCGAACCACAGGTCAGTAAGCGTCCGTCGTCAAGCTGCACCGTGTTGCATCATTATCGACCTGCGCTGTGTTCTATATCCGTGGGATTGTACAGTATGAATACACATCGAACGACTTTATGCTTGAATCGAACGATCTGCCTAAATTCCAGCAATGCGCAAACACAATAGACCAACTGGTGGCATGGTGACGAAGCAGGCGGATGGATTGTGAGTGTCCGCTTGTCTCGCCGGTACAGGCCCGGTTCCGCTCTCGTGGCAGAACGGGGTCCAAAGTTAGGCCTGTCATGTACGTCAGTTGTCCGACTCCCCTCGTATAACCACCGTCTTCTCTCAGTGTATCGTTTATCTTCACATACACATCGTGTATTGCCCATCCCAAAACAGTCAACAATCACTGCGTCGAGTCTCGAAACCAGTATGACAGGCGACAACGCTAAGGCTGCCGAAGAAGGCCGACTATCTGAACTGTCTCCATCTGGCAGTGAGCAGAATCGCGATTCCACGAAAGAGGCCACAAAGGATTCATATCTAGTCACATGGAATGGAAATGACGACCCCGAAAACCCCAAAAATTGGACAAAGAGACAAAAATGGGCTGCGACTTTGGTGAGTATTACCCCAACCATGTGTCGAGCGCTGCTGACAAGTTTGTTTACACAGGCTGTGGCGTCATTCACCTTCATCTCGCCCGTGTCTTCTTCCATCGTCGCTCCTGCTACCCAAAAGATCTCTGAGAGCTTTGGCATCACAAATTTCGCTGTCAGCCAGATCAGCTACAGTGTCTTCGTGCTCGGATACGCTTTCGGCCCCCTGTTTCTAAGTCCACTGTCCGAGATATATGGCAGATCGAGACTGCTCCAGCTCGCGAACCTCTTCTATCTCATATTCAATACAGTGGCTGGATTCAGCAGGAATACCGGCGAGCTGATCGCTTTCCGCTTCCTGTCTGGACTTGGCGGTAGTGCCCCTCTTGCAGTATCTCGCCCATCTTCTCTCAGGTGCCACAAAGCTAATGAAGATAGGTCGGAGGAGGCGTCCTCGGCGACGTCTGGCCTGCCGAGGAACGTGGTGCAGCTCTCTCAATCTACTCTCTGGGGCCATTGATCGGTCCCGCCGTCGGACCCATTGCAGGTGCTTGGATTGCTCAGTGTACGACTTGGAGATGGACGCTATGGGCTCCTTCTATCGTGGATGTCTTCATTCAACTTGCCGCTCTCAAGTACCTGGAGGAGACGTTTGCCCCATGCCTTCTCCGTCGCAAGGCAGCCAAATTGCGCAAGGAGACTGGTGATGACCGCTATCAGACACTCCAAGAACGCGCGAACCTGACCTTGCCGACCGCACTGAAGAGAGGTCTCTCGCGCCCTTTCATCCTCATTGGTACTCAACCCATCGTACAGTGTCTCGGTCTGTACATGGCATACCTGTATGGTTTATACTGTAAGAATCAACATTCCGGTCGCCATTGTCGTCATTGCTAACACAAGCCAAAGACCTCGTGCTGGGACATTTCTCAGACCTTTGGGTTGACGGGTACCACGAGTCTCGCGGCATCTCCGGCTTAAACTACATCTCTCTCGGTCTCGGCCCAATCATCGGAGCTCAGATATCCGCTGTCTTTAACGATCGTATCTATCGCAACCTTAAGCACAAGAATAATGGAGTCGGCGAACCCGAGTTCCGACTGCCGCTTATGTTTGTTGGAAGTCTCCTCGTGCCCATTGGACTGTTTTGGTACGGGTGGAGCGCACAAGCTCACACACACTGGATCATCCCTAACATTGGCGTCTTGATTTACTCCTGCGGTGGTATATTCGGATTCCAATGCATTCAGACCTACCTCGTCGATGCATACACAACTTACGCCGCATCTGCAATGGCCGCAGTCGCCCTCGGAAGATGTATCCTCGCTTTTATCTTTCCCATGTTCGTAAAGCAGCTCTATGCCAGCCTGGGGTACGGCTGGGGTACGACTTTACTTGCGTTCATAGCTCTTGGCCTGGGAGTGCCGTTTCCGGTTCTTCTTTGGTGTAAAGGTGAAGCACTGAGAGCGAAAAGTCCCTACGCGGCCACTTCCGACTAGTCTTGGCTTCCTTGTCAGTCGCGACACTCCAAACTCATCAGAGTTGGCGATCGTCACCCGCTATCCCCACTGGTGATCAAGTCCATGGAGGTCGATCTTGCGCAGACAACAATATCTGTCCATAAGCGTCCGCGTTGCATGGCGGTTTAGCATATGATTCGGTATATATGTGCTCGGAATTATCATTACTACATTAATCGACTGGAGAGAAGCGAAATTAAGATCGGCGATGGCCCTTAGGGCTTGAGAGGAGCACCTCTGCATCGTAAGTAGACATCGTACGCAGGCATCGTACTATCTGGGAATCATGCGTGAAGAACCCAATCGATGATCGCTATGCTTCCATATGGCGTGTAGATGATATGAGTCGATGCGGCTGCGTGGTTCGACCACTAGATACGAGATACAACTAGTAACAAAATCCTCAGCTGAGTGACGCCACGTGGGTTCGTCAGCGAGTGAAGTTCCAAATATCACCTGGATAGGTCATGGGATGTATGTTCGCACAAATAATGCCTGTCTCCACCTCCTCAAGGCCAGTTCTAATCATGCATCTTGCTAGTAAGATGGCATGAGTCAGTATAAATCTATTGCTTTGTCGGACTGTGGTATATGTCGAAGGTGTGGAGTATCCTGGCTGTGGCAAGTGTAAGCGATTGTGGCTAGAATGTCAGCTTCGTCCGGTCCACGTGGCGGAAGCCAGCCGTTGACAACCCTGTTGGATCTCGGAGTCACCGAAATCTCCTCTGGATATAGATTCGGATTCCTGAGGGCTTGTGCAACTTGAGGTTGTGGAGATGGTCGCGAGCCTCCAACGACGGCTGGCAACGTCTGCTGGATGTCATTGCGCGTAAGGCGTGACGCTGCAGTGAGGAGTCTCCTCTTTCGGCTGCAGACTTACTTGATTCACCTGCGAAGACTAGCAGAGGCCGTCGCCGCGGTCGATCGATCCACACAGTTGCAGAGCGACGATATCGTCATAATCTCATGGAGCAATTCCGGAATCTTGCCAGCGCCATCCCATTCATTTGCACTCAGCAGCCAAGCCGTGCTGGTCAGGATCCTAAGCCTAGTATGGCGGAGGTCCTAGTTGCTGCTTACGACCATATCAAGCAGCTTGAGGCTGAAGTTGCTCGGTTACGGATTGTGAGAAGCTGCGACCCCGAGTTCGAGAGGACAAGTACCCGCCTATCACACTAGTCTTGTATAAGAGCGACATCGAATCATCACTTCGTTCTACATGTCTATATCATGACGAGTTTTACAACCGCTATCATATCTGACATGATTCTACATACCTCTTGAGCATTCTAATCGAAAGCCTAGGGGAACAGCTTATAGCAATTGACAAAACAAACTATGTTATGCCTTCTAGGAGCGTTATCCCAAATATACGAGGTTCCAATCTGCCATGATAGCAAACTTGTGTCCGTTGTTGTGCTTAAACATGTCTGTGGCCAATGTTTCCGTTTCGATACAATCCATGCGATACCCTTGATGCGTTTGACATCTGGCGCGAATCTGCCGTCTGATTCGCCAACAATAAGCCCGATACTATCGCATATGTTGGAAGAAGTATAGCGCGATCTATCTAAGGGTCAAATCCCATCCTTGCTGCAAGCTTGAATGTGTGATGGGAGTGGCCAAAGGAGTGAGTGATGGAAGGCTTGACAGTCAAGGTGAGCTATCTGGCTTGACCAGCTTTTTGTATCTTGGTTGCACCACGACACAGTAGTGAGAGGCTATAGATAGTGATCTCAAATGACGGCATTGTGCACCAATGACAGCGCGCACTGGTGCGGACGCATACTGACTTCGTGCTGAAGAGCTCCTGCTGTTTGGTGGCAACGTGCCCAATTCGGGCGTCAAAACATGTCCGAAACATTGACGACTCCGAACAATTACATAAGCCCCATTCTGCATGCCTGGATCTGAGCATCGTTGCGGCACAAGCAGGTATCTGTTCAGACCCGAGATCGTCCGAAATTCTGCCGCGACTTGAACAAACCTCAAGGGCACGGAAACCATCGAACCTCCAGATCTCACCTACCGCCAGTTCATATCAAGTACTTCGTCCAGATGTTTTTCGAAAATTTCGGCCGCCATCAATTCTCACCAACTCGGCTGTCCTACCGCGCAAGAACCAGAATGGTATCCACTGTGGTAGGCGATTACTCCGGTCGCGTGTATGTTCGAGGCAATGTACTTCAGCACAATCACGCGGACCCTTCGCTTAGCATCTTCAAAGCGAGGTAAGTTTTGATCGTGTTGCCTAGGCTACACGAGGCGACCATACTCATGAACCTCACTGCAGATTCGGCACTGAATCTTTCGTCGTGAAACGCGTGTCTCGACCATTCTTTGATTTGTCCATACGTCTTGCAGCCGAGTTCACGGACACTCGTCGGCTTCGATGCACGTCGATTGTAACCAAGATGAACGGGTCCTGGTATACCCATACTTCGATTCTACTCTACTTGCTTTGATCAAGGACGATCCCGATTTGATACACACACAACGGAAGAAGATTTTACGCTACACTGCGGAAGCTATACAAGAGCTTCACAGCAAAAATTGGATTCACATCGGTATACTAAGAACTCGGATACCCCACTGCGGACTCCTTAGCTGAGATCAACTCATCTAGATATCAAACCGGACAATATTTTGGTCAATCTGGATGGCGGGGACACCAAAGAAATCACCAATGCTGTCTTAGGCGACTTCGATATTGCTTACCGCTTGGATGATGGAAAGGGGCTGCGAACTCGCCACGCTATTGGCAACGCCATGTGGCGAAGTCCCGAGGGCCAAACGGCAGTAGGCGTGACCAAGGCTTCAGACACTTATTCATTTGGACTCGTAGTAAGTCGTTGTTGACTCTCTGAGATCTTCTACTGACGATCGGCTTTAGTGTATATACGCCATAGGAGGGGCAGAACTACTGCTCCTCGAAGATTATTAGGACCTGCTTCGCTTTGGTATCACGCCAGAGCAAGAGGTATTGGGTCGCCATTTCACCTACTTCGGACCTGTCCCAGACGCGCTCTATAGGCGTGTCGATGACGAAGCTGGCTGTGCGCTCCTGAGAGACATGTCCATGATTGCGGACGAAACGGTCGAGAATCAACCTGAACGCAGATTTCTCTACTGGAGCAGAGAGCTTGGTCCAGTGGCCCAAGATGCGATCTCTCAGATGACTACATTGGATCCTACGGCCAGACCGACAATCGAACAGGTGTTGGTGCACCCATGGTGGCAGGAGGATTAATATCACCACTGTAGCTGATTCTCACAGCCTTTGATCACTGGGTGACGCGACAAGTCGCGATAATCGACGAAGATCTAGGCGGCTAAGAAAATCCTCTGTTCTATCTCAACATCAACGGATCAGTATGATCAATGCGTTACTTCTATACCCATTCGAAGTCGTTGTGCCTAGACCTGAGCATGCGGATATACTCTCGAACAGGCCTTCAAAAGTTCCTGTCCAGTCTACAAGGCACTCGCAATGACTACAGCGATCGTGAGCTTCGGCTCGTCGGCCGGAGAAGCCGATCAGCACGTCGCGGCCTATCGATAAGCTTTGGGGGATATCCCAAACAGATATGGACAGGGTTGGAGCTGGATGGACCGAACCAGATCCGACAAGTATCTTCGCTTCCGTCGTCCTATATGCCTGATCAGACATCTCGAATGACGGGACTCTCAGAGAAAAGAAATTGAAGACTGTGTCGTCAGATGTCTAGAGGATATCCTAGTATGGATAAATGGACGAGGGATGTGTTGAAGAAGCAGAATCAAGTATCAGATGCCCGAATCCATGCCGATGGTGCTGTTTGTGTTTTGGCCTAAGGAGAAAACGATGCGTAAAGGACCTAGTCACTCGTTGAACTCCAAGACCTGTCTATCATCATTGTACATCTATTCAACCAAGGATATCACAAGAAGATTATTAGAATACATGGATGGTTGTGAATCTTAGACGACCGAAATAGTCTTCTTGCCACGGGGAACCTGAGGCATCTGGGGGCGGGAAAGCGGGATCCCCCGCCCTCCCCAGCACAGCGACCTCGTTTCAGCATGCGAGAAGGCGGGAAGCTCGTCTCTTACACATCATTGCATCAGGCGATCCTGGGGTGCTTCTTGTTACCAATCCACCTGTGAGAGCTGGCGCTCTTTGTACCTGTGACAGTATCTACACAACGGCTATAATTACCATCCACAAACAGATCTCACTCAGGTTGGACAGGCAACGTCTCTTGCCGCGTCAAGCGAACGCACGCTTGAGTAAGCATACCTGTCACGCACTTACTACTTTCGTCACATCGAATCGTCGAACCAGATCATTCTAGATTAACATTCCTGCTTTGCAACACTTCATCTTCCGAAAGAACTCGCAAAAAAGATTTGCTGAAGACAATGATAGAGTATGCCCTCTCAAGAACCCTGGTGAAGTATGGTATACCTGCTAAAGGACTCCCAGCCAACCTTCCAATGACGTGAGATTGTCTGTTGTCCAGCTCTCGGAGGACTGCTGGAGGATCGGAAACATGCAGATTCTCAGGCATGTTGTCCATGATGCATTGGCCGAAGACTGTTCGGCCAGCTGGCAGGATGATCGCGGTAGACAGTTTGTTCTCCAGCAGGTGCAAGAGGACGAAACCCAACAACCGCATACATCCGTGTATCTCGAACCTTTTCACTCTCTGGATGATTCTGCTGCAGTCTGGAGTGTTGCTGGGACCTTCTGCAAGGTGAAAAAAGGATTCTTGTGCGAAGACAAGGCCATGTGTCTCGTCAAAAATCGTTTCCCACATGTTCCAGTACCAGATGTCATCTTCTCCTGGACTGAAGGCAACACCTACTTTCTCATGACCACGTCAGCCGTTGGTGACCCTCTCCAAACGAGCTGGGCCCTTCTCACATCTAAGCAACGTGTTGCCATTGCTAAAGAAGTCGCGGACTACTGCCAGGACCTCTTTAGTGCTACCTCACCAAACCTTTGCAACGTCTCCGGTACTGGCCTTTCAGATGCTTTCCTTCAGCTTCAGATCCCACCCGAGCAGCGGACACCACAACTCGAGCCTTTGTCGTTGCAACAGGCAACGCATTATTTCTCGCCTCTGGAGTTCGAGGGCCCTTTCTTGTTCATGCATGGAGACCTTGCACCAACAAACATTATTATACAGGATGGAAAAGTCACAGGAATTATAGATTGGGAACTTGCTGGATACTATCCTGCTTTCTGGATCAGATTCAAGGCGCGTACTCATGGGATGATGCTGAGTTCGGACAAGGAAATGGATGAGTGGGAGTGGACAAAGCTCTTGGACGGGGAGCTTGCTGAGAAAGATATTACTCTAGATCAAGAAAAATTAGATCGCTGGATGCAAGGGAAGACCAAGGCTACTGGGTAGACTGGTCGCTCGGTTTATCCGATGTCGCTCTCTGGCCATCTTCCCCGATACATAGTCTCCGGTACACCAGGCAACATCATGCTGGCACAGGACAGTGCACTTCGCGCCCGGTATGCGGGGTAGTCGACTGTAGTCGACGCTCGGAATCTTCTGTCAAGATCGTGCGCGACCGCCTAGCGCCTTTTGTGCTGCTGCAGAAACTTTGCATGCTTCTCACCAAGTTCCATGTAGCTGTCAGCCAATATGAAACCGTAGGGGACAATCGAAGGCGGAAGGTCTTTCAGAGCCAATTTGCCGGTGCTTGGATTGACGCGACAACTCACATCCGATTTGGGAAGCAAGCATCTGGTGATCCTAAGACAAAGCTGGTCGCTACGGCCGGATTGCGTGGCCACTGATCCCTCCGAGATTTTTCCGTCAACGCTACCGAGTTTATATGCACCCATTGCTCGAGGCGAATATCTTGCAAGTGTCTTACAACTATTAATTAGAACTTCGGAGTGCCACTTCTTGGACGTTTACAGATGTTCATGGATATACGGTAAGATGTACAAAGCGAGTCTATCAGGATAAGTGCATCATCTAGGTCTCGTATCTTTGCTCTAAAATTAGAACTTTAGCAAGCAGATCTGTAACCAACTTGCCGTTGGTCTTATCTAGAGCTAATAAGGGTCTTCTGGGTTTTTTGCCATATCCGTGCAGATAACCAAGCACGTAATCTATGACCAAGTCAGCATAAGTCTTTTCAGGCTGTTTGATGTGCTTACTCAGTCCCCTTACCCCCAAGGGCATGACGAACGCATCAACTTCGCTCAGGACGCTCAGCACTTCTTGGAGCTCATCGTCCTGTTCTACAGATCGGATCTTTAGACAACAAAGATTCCACAGCCTGACAGTAGAAGAGGGAGCAATGTTAGAGATGCCGCTGACAGTACCATGTCCCCCAAACACCTGCCACGTAGGTAGATCGTGCATCACTCCGTCCAAGATCAAGAAGTCAGGCTTCAAGCCATCCTCACACAGGGACACCGCTTGAGTAAGCTTCTCCATGCGGCCGGGACAACTGATGACTATCAGCTTGATCTTTTCGCCGCGCGAGGATTCATGCCTTACGTCAATTTCAGCCCGCAAAGATTCGAGAATCCTTCCATGATTGTCTTTATCGAAGTTGCGGAAAGATCTTGACCCGCAGAATTTGCTGGAAAGTTGTACAGAAGAAGAGGAATCTGGCTCAGTCAGCTGAGATGCGAAGCCCGAGGTCTATAAACTCACCGGCGACGATTTGCAAATGTCAATGTAGTATCGCTCGATCTGTGACGAATCCTGCTGCAACGTAGCTGCATAGTATGCCGGTGGAATTACCATTCCTACAGTCCTGACCTTCTTTCAGCGGCCCGCCACCAGAGGACCATCTAACGTACTTACGCTCCTGCGCTTGCGGCATCTTGAGCCAATTGAATGGTCTCGCGCGTGCTCGATCCTCCTACACCCGCGACAATGGGCACAGACTCAAACCCTTGCTTGTCAAGGGCTTGCCTTGTACAGCGGATGAGTATTATCCTCTCATCACGACTCAGGTGGACTGCTTCGCCTAAGGATCCAGCGCATACGGGAACTACTGATGTTAGATTGTCGCCATTGTGGGTCTCGTGCAAAACGTACAGGCTCCTTTACTCACAACATCTGTCTTGTTAGCACAAGTATAGACAAAGTTCAAGACCAAGAGCACTCACGAATGAGATGCTTCTCATATTCCTTCAAGTTCAACTCTTCATCCTCGTTGAAAAAGGTTGGCAGCGGTGTGTATACACCGGGTTTGAGATGACGGGCTGATGAGTGTTGTTTTGTAGACAACATACCAGACAGGACTGCTTTGGGTTCTGTTGTTTGTGCAGGGAAGTGGTAATCGATCGTTTTGTTACAAGGCAAGTGGCAGGTGGAATGGCCATCGGCGAAGCTGCCGACGAAGCCGCGTGTTATCGGTGGCCACCAGATTTCTTATCGCGAAGTGTTGGTATCTTGGCCGACCAGATAGGCCGTCGCGCCGCATCGATACATATCCTCAGAAGTATAATGCAACGATTGAGATATGCTGACAACTCATATAATGTCAATGAGCTGGCCATGATCTGCGCATCCCACCTTGAGCAACTCGACATCACCAACGACAATCATGGATCGCAATCAGAAGACTGATGTATGTGTGCATCAGAGAGCAGAGCTAGAAGAATGCTTAGTAGAAACAGCGAAAATATCAGACAGAAGTGACTGATGAATCTCTGTCACTTGATCATGGCTCCGGGACCGTCAGCGATGTGAATGCCGGCTTGGATCACCAGAGTGATTTGCAGCGAAGACTCAAGCCTCGTCATCTGTATGATACGCTCCAACACAGATGTACCTACGATGTACTGACATATAGAGACAGTCAGATGATTGCCATTGGTGGTGTCATTGTGAGCGTGCTTGTGACTGAAGCACCAAACACGACTGACATGCGCAGGGAACTGGACTGTTTCTTGGAACTGGTTCTGACTTGGCCCATGGCGGACCTGCAGGCCTCCTGATCGGCTATTGTGTCATGGCATCTCTACTGTTCTCAGTTATGGTCGCTCTAGGTGAGATGATATCACATCTTCCCATCGCTGGTGGTCAGTTCGCACTGGCAAGCCGCTTCGTATCTCTTGCTGTTGGGTTTGGGATGGGCTGGCTCTATTGGTACAACTACATCGTCGTTCTTCCGGCAGAGCTCTCGGCCTCTGCTGTCCTTGTATCTTATTGGACACCAGCGGGCGAGGCCGACTCGACTTGCACTACCGGCATCTGCAACAATAGTCTTTGGATCGCCATCTTCCTCATCGTGGTAATTGCCATCAACTTTGGTGGTACAAGAGTGTTTGGCGAAATTGAGTTCTGGTTCTGTACGATCAAGGTTCTCACCATCATTGGACTGATCATCACTGGAATCATCATTACTTCTGGTGGCGGTCCTGATGGCACACCGATTGGCTTCCGCTACTGGAACCAGACTGGAGGATTTGTTCAATACCAAGACATACCAGGAGCCAAAGGACGATTCTTAGGCTTCTTCAGTGTTCTCATCAACGCTGCTTTTGCATTCATCGGGACGGAGATTACTGCTATCACGGCTGTCGAATGCGCCAATCCAAAACGCGCCGTACCAACAGCCATCAAAAGCGTGTGGATTCGACTGGTCCTGTTCTATCTATGCAGCGCATTCATCATCGGTCTCTTGGTCTCGCCCTCTGATCCTGATCTCAACCTTGGCACCGGCGCGGCAAAGAGTCCTTTCGTTCTTGCCATGAAGAATGCTGGCATATCTGTGCTTCCATCGGTCGTGAACGCTGCTCTCTTGACAAGTGCCTGGTCTGCAGGATGTGCTGATCTCTTCGTATCCTCTCGAGCTCTGTACGGGCTCGCGTCAAGAGGTCAAGCCCCTGCGATCTTCCGCAAAGTTCGTAAGGATGGCCTCCCTTGGGTCTGCGTGTTGTGCGGCACCGCGTTTGCCTTGATCTCCTTCATGGCTGGTGCGAGTGGTAAAGCTGGGACTGTATTTGGCTATTGTGTGTTCATCCCCTATTCATTCCAATGGCAACGACATCTCTAACTTCTCCTAGTCTCAAATATGACGGCCATCTGTGGCATGATCTCCTGGGCTTGCATCTTATGGACAAGCATCCGTTGGCAGAAGGGTCTCAAGGCTCAAGGCATCGATCGCGACACATTGCCTTACAAGGCTCCTTTCCAACCTTATCTTTCATACTGTACGTCTGGAATGATACGACGTTCGTAAAGAGTCTATCTGCTAACGTCGAGTACAGATGGCCTCACTGTCAGCATCTTAGTCATGATATTCGGTGGCTTTACAGCTTTCAGTAGGTCCTGTATTAAGTCCAATCGACGGAGGCCAAGAGCTAACTTGACACAGTGCCTCACTTCAAGGCGTCGTCTTTTGTCACAACTTACTTCCCCATTCCGTTCTTCATGGTCTTGTCCATTGGCTACGCAATCTATGCCAAGTCAAGCTTGATTAAATACGAGGAGATGGACTTTTCCACTGGGTCCTCGGCAGACATACCCAACGAACCTGCTGCTCCTGGCTTCTGGGGTAAGGTGGAAGAGTATATCTGAGGGCACAATCAATCACAGGATTTTGTTTTTGGGATACATGCAATCTCGACAGAAACACATACACTATTCTAGGGAGGGATCTGGGAGAATGTCGGATGTCCTACTCTAATGACTGATGTAACTTGACCAACAGATTTGATTCTCAGTCCCATTTGTACAATGAGACGACTTTGTCGGCCAGTGTGGTTCTGCAAATACTTGGCGATGATCATATCATGTCTTGTCTGCTTTGTGTCTACCAGATCAAATGATGTGGTCTGGACTCCATTGGCGGGCAAGGGTTGCCCGGCTTCGCCGAATTCGGTAGGTGGCAGATAACAGAAGCTTATCGGTATCTTCGGCCATCATGCCGACACAATCCAGCGCTCACACTGTCTGTCGGTTGTGGCAACATCGCCAGAGATAATCTGCTCACTGCGATAAATCAATCACATCGACTGTCATATCAGAGAAAGTCCAACTTGTTGTGCTGGACCCTTTTGCATAATGTCACCAAAATTTGACTTAGTCGTGGTTAATGGTATTGTTGTCACCGCTGCAGATGCCGTGTAAGTCAGCCTGCCGCAGTCATTACACCTCATTGTTGATGTGTGTCGCCAGACCATGTTGTATTGGCATCAAGGGTGGCAAAATTCATACCCTGTCGCCCTCATTCTCCAGCGACGAGATAGAAGGCGCTCAGATCATAGATGCAGAGTAAGGCGATCGAATTCCGCACGAGGATCTGGCTCACTGTGATGCACAGGGGAGCGTACGTGATGCCAGGAGGCGTCGATGCACATGTACACCTATGCCAGGATCTCAAGACAGGTTTCTTCCCACTAGAGCCATTTGTACACCCCACTTTACTAACTCGAGACTAGGAGCACATGGACTTGGAGGAGAGTGCGCTGATGACTTCGAGACTGGGTCAAGAAGTGCCGCTGCTGGAGGCACTACCACCATCATAACTTTTGCGACACAGACTCGAGATGAAACTGATCGCAGTCTAATCAAAGTCGTAGAGGCTTACAATGCCAGAGCAGAGGCTACTGGCAGCTTTATCGACTACGGCTTCCATATCATCATTGTGCGCAACGATCCCGAGATTCTTGAGAATGAGTTACCAATTCTTGTTCGAGACTGGGGCGTCACTTCCTGCAAGCTCTTCATGACCTACAAATCCCAGCGCCTGACCGACACGCAACTCTTAGATGTGATGCTTGCGTCGCAAAAGAACGAGATAACGACGGTAATTGCCTCTCGTAACAAAATTGACTCTCGACTGACAAGTGATCAGATGATACACGCTGAGAACGGAGATATGATCCAGTGGTTGGCGGAGAAGCTTGAGAACAAGGGAATGGTTGCTCCTTACTATCATGCTCTATCTCGTCCTCCAGTGGTGGAGATGGAAGCCACGAATCGTGCAATTGCGCTTGCAGGCTTGATCGAGAACCCCATCTTGTTTGTTCATATCGGATCGCCTGTGGGTTATGATCTTCGAAAGCCATGTGAGAAGCGCTGACGACCATAGCTCGCCGCAGCAAACGTGCGTAATGCACAAACTCAGGGGATGCCCATCTATGCTGAGACATGTCCTCAATATCTTAATCTGACATATGATGATCTGGTAAGAATGGATTCCAGTAGCTATGGCTGGGCACTGACAGGATGTAGCAAAAGTTCCACTCTCCAACCTGCTTCGAGAACAGTAAGCACATCTGCTCTCCTCCTCCACCGCCTGGAACATCTGATCACGACGAACTCTACCTGTGAGCCTGTTCTTGTTTGTGGTGTCTGTGTTGGTTCTCTAGCTGATTCCGATCACAAGTGGTCTCCACAATGGCACTTTCACCATCTTTTCCTCAGATCATTGTCCGTTCAGATATGATCACCCGCATGGTAAGCCCTCAGGAGTACTGGAAGATCCCGTTAGTATGGCAGGCGAACAAGCCTGCGAGGGTGAAGCGTTGCAGGATCTGGTCTCACGCAAACCTGGCTCCTTCCGCTTCATTCCCAACGGCATACCAGGAGTGGAGACAAGAATGTCTCTGCTGTATACTGGTGGTCTTGCCACAGGAAGAATCACCCCGCGGAAGTTTGTAGAGCTCACATCGACGAATCCGTCAAAGCTGGTATGTGAACAAGGTCTTATGTTGATCCCAGAAGCTCACAACGCGAAACTTGTAGTACGGACTATATCCAAAGAAGGGAGCAATAATGGTGAGAGCCCAAGCCCTTTCTGTGACCAGGACATAGTGCTGACGCTGATGTTCTAGCCTGGCTCGGACGCTGACCTGGTTATCGTGAGTACGGAACACATTGCAGCCGAAAAAGGCTGACCAGCAGTAAAGTGGCACCCTCAAAAGACTTTCGAACCCTTTGCGCTGAGCAACGATATGCTTCATCATAATGTTGATTGTAAGATCTGTTCCTTGCATTCCGTGTGCAGAAGCTGATTCTCCAAGATACCCCATACGAAGGCAAAGAGTTTGTAAATTGGCCTCGGTATACGATTCTAAGAGGCAGGGTGATCTGGGCCGAAGGAGAGCTCAAAGGCAAACCGTATGATGGCGAGTATCTCAAGCGTGGACCAAGCTATTTCGGCACGGGCCCTGCAGGAAGGCGTAGGGATGCGAGGAAGACTGCGACATGGTTGAGGTAGGGAATCGCGCTGCGATCGATGCGATATGTGTGCTATAGTAATTCTCTCACATGCGTACAAGACTCTGGAAATTCAATCATGAGAATCAAGTTCGTCGTCCTCTTGGTGAGATAGGCTTTGGGAGGAGGAGAAGGAACGGCTTACGTAATGGGGATATGCGCTTATCTACACACAGTTACAAGTATCGCCTTCATGGAACTCTCGAGGGAAAGCTGCAGCTTTGTGTGCAAATGGACAAACGACGGGACAAACGACGAGCCTCTGCTGAGTGAGTTTGTTGTGAAGACAAAGAACTAGGGGCATAGACTAAAGATCATCAGTTTCCAGGCTGCCGATCCACCGGCGAAAAGTCGTCGGACAAACCGGGCTTGTTTGAATGTCGAGATGCGCTTCCCTTGCAGACACAATCATGAGTCTAACTATGGCTAGTGTCGATCTCGCAAACAGAAATGCCCCGCACCTCCCTCGGGAGCGGCGTTGCAAACACCATGTAGCCGCTGCCGGGACCTTTTCTTGAGGTGCTCCTTTGAGGAAGAGATATATTCTGGTATAGATCCGAGTGCGAGCCCTCACAAGGTGGTGGAGTACATCTCAGACCTACAAAGACGGTGCGAGACAAACTTGATACCTTCAAGGACACTAAGCACTAACAAAAGATGTACTGCGATAGACTCGAAGACCATGAGCGGCGACTTGCCACACTCGAGGTCTCGGAAAAGGATCGAAATACTAGTAACCAAGATAAAGACAGATATGCACCTTTCCTGGGCGACATTAAGTGTGTATACTGCTGTTGTCCATCCCCTCAGCAGTGACTAACTCATTCCAAGTGACCACGCCGTGATACCCTTGGAGTCTGCTACCCCTCCACGGGAGACCGAACATGCCCAAGAGCCCGAGTTCAATATGAATAATGTTGCTCTGGAATCACCTTTCGCGACTTTGAGATCAATGAATGCAAGAGCCAATGACCAGAACAACGGAAACGGCAACTCCAGAGCCAGGGGTCGAGCTTCCTCAGATCATGCTCAAGCACAAGATCCGATTGCTTGTGGCATTCTGACAGCGAAAGAGATAGAAAGAGATAGAAAGAGCTGTCGAGCTGTGAGTATCTACGCTAAGATAAGTGACTGTGGGTTCCTCCTGACTGCCGTTACAGATACTTCAGTCGTTATCATCCCCATGCACCTTTCGTCAGCGAAGCATTTAGACAGGATCCGCTGAGCATGAGAACAACTAGTCCAATGGTTTTCCTTGCAATTTGCTCGATCAGTGCTCGATCATGGCCTGACGGTCATTTGCAGCAGTAAGGATTCCACTTCTCAGACGAATCAGCTTTTAATCAGTGAACAGACCAGAGCAGGTTTGCCAGGCACATCCGAGAGTCGTCGATCTGATGTCTCTACTCGACCGATGTATCTCACGTCTCCTACTGCGTCCACTTCCTTCCGACATCAATCTGGACTCGGTGCAGGCTTTACTTCTGTACGCACAGTGGATGTCATCCGATGAGAAACATCGTGAAGACGCATCACGCCCGCCGTCGTCCCCAAGAAGCAGGTACAATGATGTCAGTGCCTGGGCCGTGCTAGGCCTTGCAGCTCGCTATGCAAAGCTACTTCGCATCAACCAACATCTGGTAACCATAGGACAAAATGACTACTACGAGGATGACTTTGCCCGCTTCAGGACATACTATAATCTGATATCGTGTGATTTCAATCTGATGCTGAGCTCAGGTTTGCCAGTCTCCATCGATCCGACGTCAACGCGACAAGGAATGCATGAGCTCGTTGGAAGCGATCGCTCTCAACTGCCAGGCGATTTGAGAATTGTGGCCCTGATTGAGCTGGTGAGTCTAACCTATCAGACACTAACCAAATGTGGCGACTTTTCTGGTCGTAAGCTGGATCCGAGATCCTTGAGGTCTTTGAATATAGATTTGGATCAATGGGAAAGACTTTGGACTGTCAAGTTGGCTCACACAAACTCACAACATAACCAATTGCCATTCACGTCCGTGAGGTGGTATCGCCTGGCTCTGAACAGTGCTTCCCTTGCGCCGCTCTTCTCCTTCGACCAGCCAGCCAGACCCTCTCACCTGTTGTCACTCCAATGCCTGGAAACAAGCTTGACCGCAGCATGTCAGATCGTGTTTTCCTACACACTGGGCGCTAATAGCTATGTCTGGTATATCGAGTCGCAGGTGCCATCCTCCTTTCCCGAAGGTCCCTTCCGGCTAGACCCTGAGGCACTACATCGAATGCAGTATGCAGTGGATTCATCTTGGATCTCCTTCACCTTTGCCGTCACGTTCCTGGTTCTATGTTTCGTGAGGCGCATCGTGGATGGTAAGTCAGAAACTTGTTATCTCATCACTTACAACAGTATGCTGACGAAACTGGTAGAGAATCTCCAGCTCTGCTGTCTTCAGCCAGAGAACACGCTGACGTCTTCGCAGCCGCCGAACCTGCAATTCAGTTCGATTTTAAGTCGTCTATTGCGCTTAGCACTTGAAGTATGCACTGGTATCAGGGGCTTTTCCTCGTACTCTCCAGGTCACGACTACAGCAAGATCATCATGCGTGCAGCTCATTTGGTCGTAGTCACGGATCGAAACAGTGGAGATGACGCGACAGACGCTGGACCAGACATGCAATCAATACTTGACTTGATACATGAGTCCGGCTTCGAGTGGCCAGAAAGCCTCAACGGCATGGACGGGGACATGAACATTGAATGGGATACCTGAGCACTATTCATCAATGAGCCATATAATCACTCCATTCGATACTCGTCAAAATGTCTTGATCGTAAGCGAGAATGCAACTTGACTGGCTCGCAGTCTATAGCTTTGACCGAGACGAAGCGTTCATCGCATGTTTTCGAAACTCATCAACCCTATAATGTATGTCGTTAGTGATCTTGGAAAAATGAGCAGACCACGTCCGCGCATACTTTACTTGATCGGCAACCTCAAAAAGCACATCCTGAGCCCCCTCCCAAAGCACCAACTTGCCTAAAGCCTTCAGATTCTCCTGGCCTTCCGTGATAGTCAAGAAATGATTGGCAGCCAGCGCACCCATCTTGCTGGCAAACGCGACGTTACCATAGCAGAACAAGAGTTCAGTCTCTGAGTAACCGCCGGGATAGAATAGAATTTGGCCTGCTGCAGGATGCGCGGTGTGATTCTCGAAGCCGAGCCTGAAGTCTTCGTCACCAAGTGGAATCCAGACAGCTTCGCCGCTCCAGCGGACATGGATGATCTTCTGGCGGTAGGGGAGTAGTTTTTGGAAGGTTGCTACTGTCCTTGGGGCATCATCTTCGAACTTGGCAAGAAATTGATAGGGTCCAGCGGTGATCAGAATAGTGTTGTCAGCCATAGTCATTGAGCGGTGCTGCGATGTCGTGAAGTTCTCGTAAACAAGTTACCGGTGGAATAGAGTGGCAGACCAAGCCTGACAACTGGTCGCAACGTGTTCGTCGGCTTTGTCGGCAAAGTTCCCGGAGACATGCTACGGCGATGTCGGCTTCACCGCCATTTCACTCTTCCTTATCGCTCAACCTTATCACTCATATCTCAATGTGAGCCGCATGAGCTGTGACGCTGAGATGAGCTTCAAAACCTTGACAGTCATCGGTCCAGTGTAATGTACTGCACCTCAGATTCAACTCAAAGAACGACCTTGACACTCCATCTGACCAAGATGTTCGAATCACTGACGCGAGTCTACGAGAACAAAGCAGCTGGATCTATAAGGCTTCTTGGCGAAGACATTGAACCCACTGATGGCCTTTCAGTAGTGCCTGTATTGGTATCCGAGAGTTCTGCTTCGGTGGCATCATAGTATGGGCAACGCTCTCTGGCACACTGTAAGCACAAAGCAGGGTACGCTATCGTCGAAAGCCCTGACAACCATAGGACTCGACCTACCATCAACAACGCTCAAAGTATTCTCTCCTGCTCAGTCATGGTAATGCCGTCACTGGAGGATGCTACACTCACTTTGCGGACACCCGTCGCGCATATTCAGATCTGCCGCAAGACCTGAAAGACGAGCTAGAAGATCTAGTAGTCGAGCACGAGTAAGAAGAAACTTCTCATGTCACGCGAAGGGCTTCCGCTGATCTCTCAAAGTCTGTGGCACTCGCGCAAACTTGCAAGTCCGATCATCTATAGCGACCCCACGGAGCGAGAGAAGTCATTGAAGCCTCCTTCGTATCATCGCCTTGTGCAGATCGCACCGGATGGACGGAAGACTCTTTTTCTCGCTGCTCACGCAAAACGCATCGTCGGTCACTCCTTCGAAGACAGTCAAGAACTGATTTGGCGCCTGATCGATCACTGCACCCAAGCAAAGGTAAGGTCATCTGGCGGCGTGTCTGTATATCGTAACGTCGAACTTACACTAAAAACAGTACGTCTTCAGCATGGAATGGCTCTCAGGTGGAGATATGGTTTGGTGGGACAACAGGTATGCGCCGTCGTTCAATATTTTACACACAATCTAACAACACCGCCCAGACAGTCTATGCATCGCTCGAATCCTTACCTAGAGGGCATGTCGGCAAGAGATGTAAGACGTTCGACTGTGATAGATGATGGTCCATTTGCGTTCGGTGTTAAGCCTTGAAATACCGAGGATGCTGTATGAGACCGTTTGTGCCTGGTGGTCATGCCCTGGATATCACTCTGTACAACGAATGTTTTGCCTTGAGCTTATTGCTGCTTGGATACGCCAATGCTTAGAGACATGAAGCTCGCTCGAGGCGAATGTGATCGTGTACCTGCGTAGCTATTGGAATATTACACTGTGACCTACCTTTGCAATACAAATCATGGATGAGGTAGCGTCTTCCGACCCTGTGCGCCATCGTCGCCGGAGTGGGCTAGTATTGCGTGTGCGTCGCGGAGTGGAAAGATCCATAGCTGTCCTCGTGAAGGACGACGTGAGTTCGCTGACCGCGAGGTCGGAGACGAAACTCCAGAGAAGGATATGCGCTGCCAGTGTGTGCCAGAGAGAGACAGTCTCCAGCGTGGTCTAAGCAAGGTTCAGAGGCCCTGCTTTATGCGTCTCTGTGATCGACAACACATCGGTATAGACGTGTCGCCGCAGGTATGAATGAATTTGCTGGCTCAGGTAACGTTGATGAGATTCCCAGGAGAGCCGAGCAAAATGTGGCGTGATGGCAAAGTAAGCCCAAACAGGCATGAAGCAGACAATCAGGTCCATGGTGAGGAATTGTTGCCGGCGCTAAAGTTCGAACCACTCATTAGCAAAGCAGGGGTAGTCAGGGTCCTACTGAGCAATAGATTGATGTTACCGAAGGCTGTACGTTCATATATAGTGAAGCTCGGGCCTCTTCTGTTCTGCTCGAATGAAGATCTCTCGCGTGATACGGAACGCTGCCGACCAGCCCTTTCATGCGAACAAGCTTTGGTCTCAGTGTAACTGTTGCACACCTCGGGTCTACCGAATGTCGCTTGTTCGGCCGAGCAATTAACTAGAAATGGTCGCTCAATGATCTGCGATTACACGTCCGAACGCGGTGTTGATCACGAACATGCAATGAATGAGAGTCCAATGATGCTCTGGTCCGAATCCTTCCGCAAGATATTGTTTCATACAGAGATCGCAGCAGAACTGTTGTCCCGTCCAGTTGGGTCGGTAGTGGCTAGTATGGTTGTTGATTTTCTTACATGGTTTGCTCGGGCATCACTATGAGTGAGCTTTGCGGGTCTTGACGGTCAAGAATGCCGATGACATTGAAGCCGATTGCGAGGGGTCTCTCTAGGCGAGGATAAATTGACCGTTCCGCGATCTTCAGGATGCGTCGGCGCGGGCAACTCTGCAGGTTGTGTTGGGATACCCTGAGGGTTGATTCAGGCACAAAGCAGTTGAGGCAAAGTGCGATTCACGCCCGCTCCAGAGCTTCCGTTGCAGAGCGCGTCAGCTGAGACCGCTGGTTGTTGAGTCGCGCTGAGCCTGGGAAGTCGATTGTCGCAAGGAAAACTTTGACACGCTGCGATGCTGCAGGCGGAGGGAATACCAATAAAGACGAAGACTCACGCTTGAATCTGGCAATGCCGTTGATGCCTTTTGAAGCTGATCGGGATCATTTTGCAATGAGGTAGGGAGAAAGAGAAACAGAAATGCTGTCGCAACACGATGCTGGCACAGAACAGTGCACATCGTGCCGAAGCGGGGCTAGTCGACTGTCGTCGACGCCCGGAATCTTCTGTCGATATCATGCGCGACCGCCTAGTGCCTTCCTTCGCTCGGGCCAAGCTCGTCACATGTTGAGACTTGACGACTCGGGAGACTTTCTCCCCCGTTGCCTTGAACCTTCTTTTCATCGGTACTTGACTCCTTGCAGGAACAAGCATGTCTGAGCTTTCACTGCGTCCCCGGTGACCGTCTATTGCCGGCCAATCCTGCTCTGCTCGGAGACGTTCATCGTCAAATGTTGATATGGCAGCGGCCCGAGACGTTGTGTTCATAGATTGCAGTTGCCGTAGCTGCTCAAGCCTCAATTACCCGGCGGCGAAAACTCCGGACGAGTGCGGTCGAGCTGACCACTTGACATCGACATTGAGACTCGGAGACGTTCGAAACGCTGGTGTATTCCTCGACCATCTTTTTTCGTGTCGACCCGCTACATCGGAGCCGATGAAAACCGGATGACTCGCGAACGTGGCTCGGGCATCCGCAGCACTGCTACCCTGAGGATCAACTTTCGTGGTGCGGGGAGAACTGGCTATGGATATGGTCAGAGACACATGGCGACCGTGCCGGCCGACGATAACGCAACACATGGTCAATCACAAATGATCGGACCGTTCATTTACACATCTCCAAGTCATTCCGAGCTCGAGAATGACACCGGATCCCTATGGTTTTTGCGGACCTCTTCGTCTGCTACAATTTGCGCGCTGTCAGTCACGGTTGTCTCGAGAAGACCTTGGCAATGCAGCAGGGTCTCACAATCTCGTCGCTCAAAACCAGATCCATCTGATGAGCATCAAGGTCGTCACAAACCCTTAAAAATCGATCGCTAGTGCATGTCTCTGAGCTCCATTCGGCCAGTGATGCTGATCGCTGTTGCAATTCCCACGCTCTGCGCAGTACATATTTACAGCGCAAATGTTTGATGGGCCGCCCAAGATCTATCTTTGAGACGAACCCATGGTAGTCGACTTCATCTCCGCGACGATCATTTGACTGACAGAGAAACTGCGACACGACAAAGGAAACCTGACCCGACTTGAGGCTCTCTTAATGGATTCACCAGATCGTCCTCCCAACTCCGGCCAGTCAATAGGGACGAACGAGTCATAGGATTTGCTCAGAGTAGGAAGAATCAACATCAAGCGGCAGACAAACGTGGATGCATGATGGACTCAGTACTCCAACGTCGACGTTTCGAAATTCGCAGATGCTACTGTGGATCTAGCGGTACGTCTCTCTCAGGCGTCAACTCTAAATTGAGTCCTTGGCATATACTATGCTGGAATCTTGTTCATGTGTCGTGTGCGACATATGCTCCTTGAGTTCAACCACTCAACTTTCAGGGAGCCAGCCATGCTTGGCCTCGTACACGTTCCTGGTCGGAGCAATATAACCATTGCGGGTTCTTAGCTTTAACACGGGATGTCTCCGCCATTGTACATTTCGATCTTGGAAAGTATATTCCTCTGAATCTCGAGTCTTCTGGTCGTATTGCACTCTGGGTTAGCAGATTCGCCGTTGGGTTTCACATCCGTCTGGAGACTTGCTACATATATCTCTCATCCCCGGACCAGCTGCATCGACCTGCTCCATCATCCACACCCGACAAGTCAACAACATGTCTGCAACCCCGGAGCAGGTCCAAATGATCATGGCGCTGGTCGCCCAAGGCTATCCGCTGAGCAAAATCCCGGCTGGAGTGCCTCCAGAAGGGCAGGTCTCGAATCTCGAGAACCCCATCACCAGAGGACACATGATTACCACTTGCGACATTATCTGCATGGTTATTGTCTGCAGCGTTGTCGCAATGCGCATGTGGACGAGAATGCGGATTGTCAAGAGCCTATGGTGGGACGATTGTGAGTTTAATCTGCGTCTCGTCGATCTTCTATTCACAGACTTACATTGACCTCAGGGTGCACGTTGTTTGCCCTTGCTTGCTGGATTGGGGAGACGGCACTTTTCGAGAAGGCAGTGACATGGGGTGCTGGCACACACGTTTACGACCTCTCCGTGGCTGATCTCTACCCTTCCCTGCTGCGCGGATGGGTCGTGGCTGCTGTCATGTACAGTGTGACCATGTTCTTCTCCAAGCTCTCCATCCTGCTGTTATATCGTCGCCTCTTCCCTATTGCCAACTTCGCAAAGCGCTGGTGGCTTGTGACCGGCTTCACCATCGCATACTCGACGGGAGGTGCTTTTGCTTCGTTGTTCCAATGCAGTCCGTTGACTTCTGCATGGTCTTTAACTGTCAAGGCCGACTACTGCATCAACACGGAGAAGTTCTACACTGCCAACGCTGCTTTGAATGTCGCTTCCGACATCATGATTCTGATTCTGCCCATTCCGATCGTGTGGGGACTCAATACAGATTTGCGCAAGAAGGTTATTCTGACTGGTCTCTTCTCAATGGGTATGTCACCGTTTGTTCCGCTTTCGCTCCGCACAAGGCCATCGGTAGCTAACATGCCACTTTAGGATCTATCTCGTGTCTCGTCAGTATTCTTCGCATGCGCTCCATCATCGTCCTCTATCAAGCCGGCTTCAGCGACATGACCTGGGGACTCACCGAAGTCGTCATCTGGTCGCAAGCAGAACTCACGGCAGCCATGATCTGTACCTGCACGCCATGCTTGCGTCCACTATTCGAAAAGATCACTCCTATGCTCTTCCGCTCGATCACAGGTACCACCAGGAAGGACACCACAGGCGACGCCTACGGCAGCAATGGAAGATACATGCGTACCGGCGATTACGGACACAAGAGTTCTGCGAGCAAGGCGACATCGATCCAGGATATGGAGCTGGATTCACGGATCATGAAGAAGGTGACCGTGGATGTTAGCGCCATGGGACACGGTGACGATGACAGCCAGAAGAGCATCATTCGAGATCAGGGGGTGTAGATGACGCCGCGGCTCTCATTTGTATTGATTTTGAAGCGTATACTGCATATCCTGCATCTTCATTTAGCTTAATAACAACTTTCTTCGCCTTCACTATCTTGGACGCGCTAAGTGGAGATATTGATGTGTGATAGTCGTATGCCAGAGGAACCAGTGCAGGTAGACGATGAACGGCAAGGCCGAATCGCATGGATACACTGGCGGTGTCTTGCTACTGGGTTTTCTTGACTCACTGTACGGTCAAAGGATACAAGAGAGCAAGAGCCAACGCTCCAAGGACGCGACATGCACCAGGACTTTGTCTCCGCATCGTCTGCGTGGGCGAGCCTGTGACATTCTACAGTGGCATCGCCACACGTAGAGCCGACATATGCGCCTCCGTGAGTTTCAGGGCGGCCGTCTGTGGGTACAGATGTGAAGGAGGTTGTGATTTGAGATGGAAGAAAGGTCAGTCACCCGCCGACGCGTCAGAGATACGTCAGGATCTCAGCCTCCTCGGCAGCCGGAGACTCCTCCGAAGCAGGGTGATCCCCAGAACCAGTGTTTCATCAGACAAGGTCGTCGATGGAGTCCTCACAGCAGGTTTGGCACTCTGATACTGATGCAGAAGATAGATGAGGGCATTTGATGGATATAATGAGAGTTTGAATGCTTTAGGGCATGATAATACAGGATATATCGACCAAAAACAAGTTCTATTCGTCTTTGCAAGACATTGCAACAGCAAACCATGAGTCCTCGACGTGAGTTCTCGGAAACCAAAGTGAAATCCACATTTTTGAGCACAGTACATCCACCACTGCCGCAGATCATCTCTAGATCTCCTAACTGATCCAAGTAGTACCTGAGCTTATATTTAGCTATTAGTAAGTACATATATCTCTGGGTTGCTGCCGCGGTAGAGAAGAACAGGGTTTGAGGTGTTGCTTGTAGTGCAACCCTGATCCACACGACTTCTGGCCTGACAGAGTAGAGATTCTCGCTTCGGGTTTTGCTTGATCCGCTAGCTACGACTTTTGGCCTGTGTACTCTCAGAGCGCATCATGAAACAAGCTCCGCCTTGGCACTTTCGTCACTCAGACGGAGCGAACAACGCGAATTGTTGGTCATCAAATATATGGCAGCATCACGCAAAAGTGATACGTGTTAAGTACATTCAGGCAACAAGACTGCTTCGACTGCTATACCAGTGTACATATGTTCCAACGCACTGTCTTGTCCTCATCAAGGCTTACCTTACAGAATCTACGCTTCATTTCGACGTCCAAAACAACACGAACAATGGCAACAGCATCCAAAGTCCAACTGTCGCTCGGCGAATGGCCTGAGTTCTACATCAAGGACATCAAACAGGAATCTGCGACAAGAGCTTCAGATCTGCTCCAAGAGAATCATGAGAAGCATCACATCTTCTTCAACAACAGTGGCTTCCACAATCACATTGCTCATCATCTGCTAACCCTCTACTCATTGGCCGCAACTCCCTCGCAGATTCAAAAGCACTATGACGACAATGTGAGCTATCAACGACCGCCTCAACCCGTCGAGTCGAACATTATCCAAGGCATGGAAGATCCTTCACAATTCAAGAAGTATTTGGGCAAAGAGCGCTACTATAACGATTATCTGCGTTTCTTCCAAGCCGAGATGGACAAAAAGGGTTGGCAGCAGGTCTTGAACGAGTACGTCTTTGCTGGAGATGACCGAGCGGACGATATGCTGGTCCGAATGTTTGCCGGTTTCCTGCACCCCATTATCCACCTGGGCTTCGGCGTCGAGTTCCATCAACCCGCCATCATTGCGGAAGGCCTTGCTCAAGCCGCTGTGCACGACTCTTGGATAAAGCCTCTGTTCGACGGCGCCGAGAAAGCATGCAAAGACGTCTCTGAACCTTCCAAAAGCATCGTTGAATTGCTGGATCAAACCCACGCCGAGAAGCGTCTAGCCAAAGCCGCCGATGTAGACGGCAATCGCATCCGCGATGGAATAATGAAAACCGAAACACAAACAATGGTCGACATCATCGCTCAATATCGCATCAGCAGCCCTGCAGAGCTCGAAGAACGCACTGCAGAAATGACAAACGCAGCCGCTTACTTCAGCGGTGCCGCTCAGCGTCGTGACAAAGCCATCAAGTTTGACTTCTTCTACATGCATTGCATCAACTCTTCCATCTTCTTCTCTGCCTTTCTCAAGCAAGATTGGCTGAGTGATGCCAACAAAGTCCGTCTGTTGGAATGGAAAGTCCGCAATGACATTGCTTTGTATGCATCGAGAGGCTGTCCAGATCTCCTGCTTGATGAGATCGCAAACTACGAGCCGAACAAACCAACATCTACGTCCAGCGAACCTTGGCATGAAATCATCGAGCGAGTCAAGAACTTTGAGGATGATGGACATGGTTCAAAGCTGGTCAGGGCATTGGCGCACGGACAACAGATCTGCAAACCATACGAGGACAAGGAGAACTTCAGGATCAAGGGAGATATGTGGTTGCAGCTTGGTCATATGGCGATCGACTCTGTTGAAGGTTCTGAACCTACTTGGGTTCGCTCGGCTGGCTTTGACAGTGCTTGGGAGAAGATTGCGGACAGACCTCGTGCACAGCTTTGAGGCTCGAAGGAACTGTCCTTTGATTGAAGGCTTGTTTGGATTCCCGGATTTGTCTCTGAGATCTAGTCGTGCGGTGGTGGTGTTTGCATCTTCGTCGTTTTGACAGATAGCTGATACAATGCAGTGGTTTTCAATCGCTTGACCCTTTCAACATTTCAACATCACTAGTACACGACGGTTTGCGTTTGTTGACTCTTTTGCACTTCAAAGCAAGAGCTTGATCCTCGCGATTGCCGTCGACGGGGACCGCGATTGACCTTTCTTCTATTGACGCCAGATTCGCATCGTGCAGAACATCTCACAATCATTCTGAATCTTCCATCCACATTTCGACGCGCGTGGTACACTCAAGGCTAAGACTGCAGCAGATATAAGAGGCTATCACATCTCGCCATCGGTCCCGTCATCTCTTCAACTCATCCAGTCTACCAACCATGGACGATCCAGCCTTCATGCTCTTGCAACTGCAAGAGAACCTACGCTTCGTACATCCAGGTGCGCGCGTTCTCTCTTGCATGGTCAGCGATGAGAACAGAGCACCATACTGGACTTATGTCATCCTCACCTACGATCCCCGTGGCAACGTCCAAACTTACCTCGATCCCTACGACTGTCGCACCGCCAAATGGACCAACCAACCTCTGGAAGCCCTCAAGAAGATGCACTTGGAAATCGCCGCACAAGTCACTGACAAGCTGATCATTGACAACCATCACCCTCTGAGACAACTGGAGGAGCAGCGACTTGATGAAGCAGCTGAACGCACCGCATCGAGCGCAAGCAACAATCACACTGGAAGCCGTCGTGGTCCGCAGCAGCCAATGGCTCCAATCTCTGCTTCTCGTCAAACCTCAGAGCATCTCAGATCGCAAAACTCAGACAACCCTCCAGCATACCAGTCCCAAGAGACGAGTTCAGCCTATGTCCAACGATCTGGTCGTCTCTCAACCCGTGATACGTTGGACTCGATAGACAGAGTCTCATCAAGCAGATCCCGCAAGATAGAAGGGTTCGACGGTTCAGGCCGAGCTGGTTCTCCTGTTCATCTCCCTCTCGTCACCTCCCCTACTGAGTTACTCTTTCCTGATCCCAAGGAGAAAGGCTCACCTGGAACTACTCCAGCTGGAGAAGGTTGGCGACAGCAAACTGCAGTGACCGGCACCCGCGACTATCTCCGCTCTACACACAGCCAGCCTCGCACATCAGGCTCGAACATGCGTGCATCGAATCACGAAAAGGCAAAGACAGACTCTCAGGTTTCTCGGATCAATGCCTTACCTCGTTCCAGAGTCCAACAGTCACAGCCACTGAACCCAAGGGCTGCTACATTCGGCAACGCACCTGTGGGACCCTCCACTCAACCTCCTGTCCAAAATGACAAAATCCCCATCTCTCGCCCCACAAATGACTACTCGACCGCCCAAGGCGTTCACGGCATGCAAGCTCTTCATCCCAGTACCACCATCAACCCCCTGCACCGACGTCAACGCCAGGAGCCACTTCCGCAACTATTGTCTTCACGCCCACCGTACCAAGGCGCCTCAGAAGTGGACCTCCAACTTCCACCATCAGTTTTGGATCTCATGTACACTGACCTCGAAGAATTCCTTCGTCAAGTGGAGATCCACAAGCGCGAGCAGTTTGGTCCCCATGATATTCTGGCCCCCATCGGAGATTCGGCTTCTGAATTTGCTAGGGATATCGATGCAGATCTTGATGATGGTGTTGTTAGTGGTGGTGGTGTTGTCTCTCTGGTGGCACGTATCCGCGACTATCGTCCTCAATCGCCCAGGGGCAGTATCTCTTCGGGCGAAACCGTCAAGGCGAGCGATACTCTGCATCGCAGAAGAAGGGTCACTCAGAGACGCTACGGAGAGAATGAGACCGGAGATCCCTTGCCCCCTGCTGCACCTTCGCCTCCACCCAACGACGTGTACCCTGCCGGTCTGCCCGTGTACCCGCCCACACTGGTAAACTCTGTCTCGGGTGCTTCCGTGCGCAGGAACGCTAGCAGTGCTGCTCGTATGAACGCAGCAGATCGTATCTCTTCCATGAGCGCGACTCAGAGTATCCGCAGACCCACTCCTCTTGGTCCGAGAAGTGTGTCAAGTGTTTCTCGACAGGGTACATTTGACGAGCGCCACGACAACAACGAGAATGAGAGATTGCTTGGAGGAGAGGAGAGAGGAGGCAGTAGACGTGTGTCTCAGAACCATGAGGAGGGCAACCAAGGTGAGCGAGTACGTCCCCCCTTTCCTCAAGCCCTTGTCCGTATCCTGTGCCCATTGACCCCTTTTACTCATCTTTTACTTTCTCCCCTTCCTGTCTGCTGGCCCCTTTACCCTTTGCCTATCCGCGATTGCGCCTGTCTTGCTCATGTTCCTTTCTTCCTTCTGCACTTGTCCCTCCCTCATGCACCTCACCCCCTGAAACTCCTTCGTGACGATAGTCAATGACCACGCTAACACTTGCGGCAGACGCTGGTCCCACACACCGCTCCCACACCCAACCCTCTAGCACCCTCCAAGCCTACAGCTATGCACTCCAGTACCGCACTTCTCCCGCTTTTGGCGCCTCACCTCCTTTCCGACCCTCCCATCTCTTCAGACGCTACGATCGACCCTTCAATGTCCGTGACTACAGCTGAGTCTTTCAACGTTACGATCAAAGGAAACCCCAGATTTCGAGCTTTCAGCAAATTGTGGACGATGGGAAGGAAAGTGAGTGGGAAGACTGTCGGTGGTGGTGGACGCGGTGGTGAGAGAAAAGTGAGTGACACGATCATCGGTGGTGGTGGTAAGGGTGGGAGAAGGTTTAGTTCGTTGCCTTGAAGGCGTTGATTTTGCTTCAATTGACCTTTAATGGAGACGATGGCAGGAAAGTGCCTCCCCTTCTCGATATCTGATTCAGAGGGACTTTCTCCAGAACGAGCCGGTATGTATCATTAGAGGTTTGATCAAAGAATTTCAGCATAGCTTATCCAAAAAAAAAACCCCAATTTCACTCTTTTCTACTCTCTTCCCACTCTTTCTCCACTCCCTCTTGGCTCAGCTTTTGGATATTCCCACTTCCTGCTTTTGCTCTTTTTTCTGCTTTCTTCTACCCCTCTTGACCAATCGGCAACCCCCTAAAGAGTCCCTCTAAAACTCAAATGGGTTTCTGCCACCTAAGGAGAGATTGCAAGAAAGAAGAAGAAGAAATTGCATACTCTTGGTCACTGCTCATCTAAAGTATGATCTAAACACGCAAGAATGAAAAACTTGTGCTTACTTCTTTCTACCCACGGAGATCTCATGGGTGAGAAGGAGACAGAGAGTGGAAAGCGTTGGCATCGGACGTGACATGCAGCCAGATTTGACATTTCGAAGGGACATTTTCATCCGTTCCTTCCGGTCAAAAAGCACAGAAGAAAAAGAGCGAAATGGCACAAGCAGAAAACTAAGACAGAAGAAACAGCCAAATTAGACGTGGGAATCAGACAAAAAGGCGATGGCAAAAAGCAAATGTGGGTACGGGACATCTCAGATGGCGAGAAAAAGACAAAGAGACAGGAAGAGGAAGAGTTAATAATTCCAACGTCTTCAATTGTCCCTCGTGATATGTATGTAGATAGCCTAGAAATGACAAAAAAAAAAGAAACAAGAAGGATATGGAAAAAGAGACAACTCCGACTGACGCTCACTGCTGCATTTCATCATTTGTTGTCAAGAAGGGAAGAAAAGAAAGATTTCCCATTTGGGAATCGAAAGAAAAGAAGGGGAAGAGGAAGTCGACGAAGAAGACAAGAGTCGGCGCAGGATAGACCAAGAACAAAAGGCCGTGAATAGAAGAGAAAATAGGACAGAAGACTGAAGAAGATAAAGGTGGATCCAGCAGAGAAGACATAGGTCGTTGGTATAGCATCAGGCCACAACGTGGTTGCCCCACGCATGTCAGCCATCCATTGAATTCACTCCAATCATTGCTTATACCGAGCAACATGATCAGCAGCGAAAGAAAACGAAGACCCTCCGGTGCCTTGATTAGCCGGACTCCTCGGACTCAAGGGCAACGCAAACAAATCATCCTCATCAGCAGCAGAGTCACTCCTCTCCACTGCGGAAGCAGTAGTTGATGGAGCAGCCTTGAAGTCAACAGGATCTTCATTAACAGCGAGTGCATTCAGCGAAGCCATGCTATTTTGTCGTTGTTGTGCAAGCACATGGTCAGGCGGTAATTGCGGTGCTATTCTACGTAAGACTGGGACAGTGGTGGGTTGAGTGTGGACGCGCGGTTGTTGAGCTGGTTTGGCGGAAAGAGTGCTAGGGTTGGGTAATCCGTGCAAAGCGGCAAAAGTGTTGAAGTTTACAGCGACGTCGGAACCTTCAGGACTCAGGGGATTTGAGTCAAGGGTCGAGGTAGAGGCTTCGGTGTTGAGTTTGAGGCCTTTGAGCTTCTCTAGCAGAGGTCCTCGACCAGGACTGCGTGGGCTTGCCGGACTGGGCAGACCGAGGTCGATGGAGTTGGAGGCCGAGGTGGCGATCTTGAGGCCAGCGGGTTTGGTGCGGACGCCGAAATTCGACTCTATCCAGTCGCGCTCCTGCATGGCCATGGACAGAGCAACGCCCTCGGGATTGTGCTGTTCCTCGTGTTGGATCTCCTGCTTGAGCACTTGTAATCGCTTCTTGGCCCAGACAGTATGCAAAACACCCTTCTTGCCGGCCTGACGGGCCGAAGCTCCCAGCTCAGGCGGGAAGATGGCGGGCAATGGATGCGTACGCCAGACTATGTTCTCCAGCTCTTGATCATCAGGTTGTAGGCTGAGCGTGACGGTGGCAGGCACACGCTCAGCGACGGACAGCAAAAAGTACAGTCGATGCAAGCCATCTCTCTTGCCGTCAGCAGTGTTGGCACCGAGGACGGCGGCACGCTTAGCTTCCCAGCTGACGGACCACTGGCCGGGGACTTTGTTGGTCTGCTCGTCGTCCTCCCACTCGACCATCAAGATCTTTGTGCCCGCCTTGTCGCCAGCCGGTCGCTCGAACTCGAAGCGAGCCAGAGCGTTGCCCGAGGTCAGGCATGGCGATTCGACCTCGTCGTAGTCGGGGGTGAGGGGTGTCAGCGTGCTGCTGTTGGCGAAGAAGGTGCCCTGAGTGGCCGTTTGGAGGGGCGGTGGGTGTTGCGAGGCTGACATGGTCGTGATAGACAAGGGACTGAGATGCTGAGAGGACGGTAGGTGATTGAGGAGCTATCTAGTGCAAGCCGGGATCAGTCTGGTGGCTAGCTAATTACTCTGCAGCTAGTCGTAGTATGACCAAGTCAAGACTGGTTGATGAAGCCTTTGTTTCAGTCAAGTCTGCTGGAAAGTCGTCCGGAGCACGTCGGACATGGCTCACGTAGCCGGCGACATGATACACATCTGCATAGGACCTGACAGGAAGAGAAGGAGCCATCGACGTGTCGCTGGGCAGTCTGCGCGCCATCGCACCTGCCACACGCTGCGAGCTTGTCAGAGATCTGCACTCGAGAATCCGAATCCGAGCGCCGTTGCCCAAAATAGCTTGGTCTGTCAGAGCTGGGCACGCTCTTCCGCTGCTCTTCCGCTACTCTTCCGCTCTTCTTCCCGCCTGTCGCCGCAATATCACGACATGGGTGCGCTACCGAAGACACAGATAGAAAAAGAGAAAGGAGCGTGTGAGATACACAACAACTTAGTAACGAGCATGAGTTAAACGCCTTAATCGTGCAGTCTTCTTTTCTCTTTGCCTACGGACTATATAACACATGTCTTGTCTTATCATACTTGCTGCCTTGTCGTCATGGGGATAGTGAGAGGGAGAGAGAGTTATGAGATACAAAATCTGACCAAGAACATAAGGAAGCAGATAAAAGAAAAAAACATATAAAGCTAGTTCATGCCATGGGGTATCAAAGTCGTAGTCCGAAATCTTTCCTTTTTTTTTGGTCTTCATTCCTTTCCTTTCCTTCCTCGGATTCCACCATTGTTATCATTTTTCCAGTCAGTCTTATCACTCACCATCTTCACCTTGTTCGAACTCACTCAAGCCTTCTCACCGTTATGCTCAACCACAAACCCACTTTGCTTCTGCCTCAACGCCTTGGCCAGCATCAACTCCCTCATCCAATCAATTCTCTCACTGCTGTTCCCCACAGCGAAGTGATGAGTCTTGCCGCTCGCAGACTTGACTCTATCGCCAGCACTAGGGACAAGTTGAAAGGCAAATGCTCCAGCAGCAGCAGCATCACTCTTCTTGTCTCCGCCGAGCTTGAGGTTCTTGAGAGCGGCCATGATCTTGTTGTTGGAGGGTAGGGATGCACAAGCCACTGAATAGTCGTCCACGTTGATAGTGTCGAGCATGAGAGCTGACAATCGGTTGTTCTCATGCATGGCTAACTGTGTGCCGTGAAGACGGAAATGCGCATTCTGCCATTCGTGATGCAACAGCTTGTTCTTGCGCTTCTTCATGTAGCCAGTGTGGGAGACTGAGTTGCCGTATGTGGCTTGCATGTGTGCTTTCTTCATCTCTTTTTGCTTATCCTTGTCGACGACGTGGATGAGTTTGCTCGGGGTGCGTTGGATGGCCGAGATGGGAGAGAAGACGGTGTCTTCGTCCAAGGCGGGCAGCTGAGAGGAGGGATTGCGGTTGAAGGCAGGGCGGCTGTGCGAGCGGTATTGCATGTTGGGTGGGACGGACTGGCTAGTATCGCGGGAGATGGGACCGATGGGAATGGCAGTGACGGGGACGTCCATCTCTGAGGCTGGCGTACCGTAGCGATAGACGTGGTGGTTTCCAGGGGAAACAATCGCACTGCGACAGGGAGACATGACAGTGTCTGCAGGGGAGAAGACATTTGGCTTGCCTAGCCAGGGGTTAGCACTGGCAGAGCGAGGGATAGACAGTTTGGGCAGATGCTTGAGGTTTTCGTGTGGCTCTTGAGTCAGCGATGGACGTTGCAGAGAAGGATAGGCTTGTTGGTGTGTGGTAGGAAACATCTCGTATTCGTTAGCAGGAAAAGTATCGACAGGAGGCGTGGGTGGAGCTTCCACTTGCGGCTGACCGACATGTTGGAAGTTGAGGAATTGCTTGACGTTCTCTTGAGGGTCTCTGATCTGAAGTCTGGCCAGCATGTTTTCGTGAAGGGCAAAAGCTGGAAGCTGACCAGGACCAAGCAAATCAGAGGAAGCCACAATGGATGGCGGCATGGTCTCCGAAACAGGTCGAGATGATTGAGTTGTGGTTTGAGGTGAGGCCTCTTGCTGACGGTATACGTTGTCCACGACTCTGTAAGCAGTGGAGGCATTGCCAGGATCGCCCGTGATGAGGATATGACCACCATGATCAGGGCTGATAGGATAGCCTTGCTGCTCCCGGATCCGAGCAAACAATCTCTGCTGCTTGCGCCACTTGGAACAGTTTTCACCCTTAGCGCAGTTGTGCTCTCTGGGCATCAGTTGTTCAATGGCAACAATCGAGACCGACTCCGCAGGAGTGACCAAATCATCGTGTTGCCTGTTCTTTCGACCGCGTCGCTTCTTGTGACGGACGGGAGTGATTGGAGTGGCATCCTCTTCCAGTGAAAGAGAAGGTAACATGTCTCGAGGAATGTCGCCATCTGACCTTGATCTGATATTTGTCGGGGGGCGAGAGATGTCCTGGAACGGGGTGGGTACTGGACTTGGGCCACGCTCACCACCTTTGAGATTTTGTATAGCATTCCAGAGTTGGTGCCGTTTGCCGAAAGACTCGATCTCGAGTTCCTTCAGATTCTCGAACTTCAGCTCCATCAGAATTGTGCCGTTGATGTCGTGTTTCTCAAACTTGTCGACAACCTCATGCGGTAGGCCAGTCTCTAGCATCCAATCCAAGACATCTTCTGTTGACCATCTCTCCACACTATATGGGGAAGGAGACTGGAGCACTGCATCAAGACCTGGGACATACAAGTCTTGGGGTGAGAAGGCGAATTCTTGAGGGGTAATAGGGTCAGTCTTTGGCGGCAACTTCATTGTTATCGGAAAAAGTGGCGACATCTGTAAAGCATAGTCGAAAGCAGACTCGGCAGATAGATGAGACGCGCGGAAGAGATGAGGACCTTTTGGCCCTTCCACTGACTTGCCATGGCTTGGGAAAGGACCATGTTGATCAAACTGTACATCAGAGCGGGGCGTCAAGGCCTCTTCGAAAGATGAGATCGTGGTTTCACTCCTTCTCCTGCTGTCGAACTGTCATGAAGTCAATATCAGGTTTCTTCCGCGGCAGTAGAATATCACGCACCGAATCGAAGCTAGGTTTTGGTGAGTTCTCTTCGAACAAACTCTCATCATCCTCGAGATCGGTTTCATAAATCTCGGTAGTCTCGGATAATGGACGGGGATATGTTGTCTTGGAAGGAGTCGAGAAGGGTGTTCTCAGTGTTTGAGGTTCTGAGTTCTGAGAACGCACGTGTGCGGTATGTGTCATGGCCAGCTTGACTAGTCAGCCAATGTCTTGGATCCGGAAGAATGCATATCACCTACCATGATGGTAAAAGCAAGGCAAAACAACAAGCAAAAAGACAATCAGATATTCAGAAGCGACGAAAGTCGACACCGTTGCCAGTGAGAGGGTCTATAATGTTTGGTTTCGTGACGCGAAAAGACGGCAACGAGACTTGGAAATCGGGTCTTCGCGTGGTAGCAATATCGTAGGGTTTTGTAAAGATAGCCGTTGCGTGAATGGGAGGGTGCACCATGCTGCCGTAACCTGCTATGTGCGTAGCGAAAGTGTGACCAGCCATGGCGGCGGGATCAACAGGCGTTAACGGAAATGGAGCGGTTGGACAGGCGGCCTCTCTGTGCCTGCAGATTTGATAGATTACACATGTAACCCAGGACTGTTTCGAGTTTGACATTGTCCATTGGACGCCATTGAACTTGCAGCAAGCCGTCAGGGTGGTAGGCGTGATGAAAATTGACGGCGCATGAGCAAAGATCTGCACATCTTGATTGGCTCAGGAACCGAGGTCAAGTTCTGGTCGCGCGCAGATTAAACGAGTCAATTCTGGATTGCATAGGAAAGGTTGGCCACGAAGTGAGACATATGCTCTATTGCCCAAGCAAATCTAGCTCTCACGACTAGTAGGTTACACATACTTACCCAGCCAGACAAGCAGCGCAGTATGCATGAGGTCTTCGTATACAGCAAACATTGCAGCCACGACGCTGTTGGGAGAATCTGGTAAGCGTTGCACATGGTCACAATGCAAGGGCAGGATAACAGCACACGTTCTGTGCAGCATCAACACGAGCGGTGTGTCCGAGACGAACAGAAGCTCGTGATACGTTTAGCCGCCATGGCGAGCTCGCCTTTTTTGCTCAGAGCTGACATCTATCGGGCAAGTCCGGCCAACGAAGCTTGCTGATAAGAACAGTTCCAACAGGATACTCAGTAGCTAGTGGCAGTGCTCGAAAAGAAAGACCACGATGGATGGTTGGCGAGATGGCGAGCCGTCGACGGGGAAGGGCGCGTGACTTGATGTCGAAAGCCAGCACTCGATGCTGGAAACCAATGAAAGCAAGAAGCCGGCATGTTCGGTGCTGGTTGGCGAGTTGGTTGACAGCATGAACCGCCCTAACAGAGCTGGATATTTACGGCCGTCCGAGGGCGATAGGCGTCTGGTCCGCACTACATGGGCGTATGCAAAGTCCATGTTGGCCTGGGTAATCTCAAGCACCGGAGTCAATAGAGACTCGAATCGAACCAGATTGCCGGAAAGTCGAACGATAGCAAAGGCAAGTCACATGTTGCTTGATGAGATTTGGGCATGAGAGACGGAGGTTCCTGCATGATGTTAGTCGAGAGGTGCGTGGTGTGGCAGGAGAGTCAGCAAAGCCTGCCGTGTCGTCTGGACAAAAACAGGCTTCGGTCGAGAACGGGGAGGGCCGATGCCGTGTCCGATGCAGCCAGACGAGGGCCCGCTCTTGCCGAGCTGTGTCCGATTGGTTCATCACGCCCGAGATATTGAATCACATCAAGCTGCTGCACATCCTCCACACCTCGTCACATCACTCAGCAACTCCCCACCACTCGTTGCATCCTCGTTCTGCAGCCATGCTAGACAAGCGCGTGGGCGGTTCGCCGTCACTTGCACATTCCGATCCTGTAAGCGAATCAAGCACAAGTCGAGGACCCTGGACAAGTTGGCATGCACTGCTCTCATTCCGAAGTGTTCGATGCTTCACCGCCATCCAAGCAAAACACAGTTCACGGAGTACCAACATCTTTGATGTGCTTCCATGCCGCATGCATTTTCCAGCGCTATTGTGCTTGGAACAGAAACCGGGACATCCGTCGGTCGGGAGATGCAATGTTGATCAAGCCTCTCGACATTTCCGTATTGCAGCAATGGTGCAATGAAGCCCAAAGGATTTGCCGGCCCTCGGACGCTTTGACGTTGAGTTCTCGCGGCTCATCGCAAGCGGGGATCGACACGGGACCTTTTTCGACTCGAGCTGTCAAGTCGAACTCTGTTCCTGTGAAAGGCGCATCTATCCTTGTCCATTGGCCTGAACTAACTTCTGTCAAAATGACTTGACCCTGTTGCTCTGCTTCCGCAATCTTTCTCGACAAACCAACGAAGAGAAGAGAGTCTTGATGGTTCGATTGGATTCTCCCAGATCTCGTCCAAAGTCCCCAAAATTCATCAATTCTTCCGGATCATAATCAGATCGCATATGCATTGTACGACCATGCGGCTCAGCGTACCATGTCACCGTCTGTCCTACAGTCATGACTCTTGGTGGCACACAAGAATAGCGTTAGGCCGATCTCTTCTCCCCATGGCGGTCCCGTGCCACTCAGATGCATACAACCAATCGTAGGCTCGGATGCCCTGCATATCGCAGGATTAGCTCTGGTTCTGGGCATAGTATTAACCCACATTGTTGAGTAGTCTAAGAATAGATGCGGTGTTATTTGGTGCCATTCTTCCACGTTTGGGCATATAAGGTACTTGTCTCCTCTTGCACTTGACCATAGCCAGCAATCGCAGGCCGACTTAATACGCTTTTCTCTCTTCCTTTTTTGTTGCTTTCCCTGTCTCTCCTCTAGCCAGGCTGGTCCAGGCTCCTCTTACGCTATCGTTTAATCAGGACCCGTTTTGCGCCACTACTTTGTTTCCCAGACCTCTGGTCCCCTACCAGCCCTCAGTCAACCTATCATACTTGATTGCATTGCCTCATAATTTACTTGTACATATAGATCAGACATGTCGTCGTCAATCACTCCAGCAAATTCCAGACTCACCTCCAAGATGGCTGCCTCGAAAGATGCAAAGTCGAATGCTTCAAAGATGCACCGTCGTTCGCGCACAGGTAAGCTTATACTCTAGTTCCTGGGCCATGCACGTTCCATTGCTGACCCCGGATCCTCAGGTTGTTACACTTGTCGTCTGCGACGAAAGAAGTGCGATGAGGGAAAGCCTGGTTGCAAAGCATGCAGCCATCTGGGTGTCTCATGTGTCTACAAGCGCCCAATGTGGTGGAGTAACACAACTAAACGAGCAGAGCAGAAAGAAATGGTCAAAGAAAGGATCAAGTTGACGCAGAATGCCAAAAAGACCAAAGATGCAAGCACACCACCTCCAAGCCTATGCAAGACCGAAACCTTCTCCGACTCGAAACCTTCGTCGCGGACACCATCTGTCTGCACGCCGTACGCTCCCGAGATCAGCTTCAAGCAAGTCTCACCCGAAGGTTACTTTTCTCTGCCCCCACCAGAGATACTCATGTCTCATCCGCCGTATCCTATACTTTCGCCCTACGAAGTCGATATCAAGACTGAGCGCCAGATTTTCATCAATGACGTTCCGACACGACGAGACTCGACCATCTCAACCTTTAGCACTTTTCAGCCACCGCCAATGGGATCAAGTTGTCACGGCTTTGCTCCCGAGAGCTGGGTCCAACAAGACTACTACGAGATGCAGCAAGAATCCTTCTCCGAAGAGCCCGTCAACTTTGACTTTTTCGACTTAGCACACGAGAAACCTGCACCAAACCATGAGACTGTCATCGAGGTAGACGAAGTCGACAAACCTTTACTCAACCATTTCATTCAAAAAGTTTCGAAGCTCATTTTCCCGATTCTCGACGCCAATCAGCACAGTTCAACACGCTCGGATATCATCTTGCCTGCGCTCGAGACTAACAAGAGCTATCTCCACTGTTGCTTGAGCGTGGCCGGCTTGCACAAGAAGTCTACCGAAAATCTCCCCTCGGAAGAGATCGACGAGCACATTCTACGACACCGCTACGCAGCGATATCCGAATTGTGTGCCGCATTAAACGAAGACGAAAACCATGCTCAAATTCTTGAAGCTACCCTCGGCATGATCTTCTTCCAATGTTCCGTCGGCAGAGCAACAGACACGATACCTGATATTCCATGGCACCAACACTTCCAAGCTGCCGCTGATCTTGTTGATCGACTTGAGCTTCCCACAACAGTTCTAGGTGCCATGCAATGTGGCGATGTCTCGCGACCTCCCTTCAACATGGCCCTCACGGCATGGATCGACATCCTCGGAGCAACAATGCTGGGTCGCTACCCAAGATTCGCAGACACATACCGCGACCTCAACATCGGCAAAGGCAGCGCCGGACTCTCCGAGCTCATGGGCTGCGAAGACAACATCATGTTCCTCATCTCGGAAATCGCATGTCTGGAAGCCCACAAGCTCGAAGGCATGGACGACCTCGTGCTGTGCGACTACGTCAAACTCCTCGGCCACGGCATCGGCTACTGCGAGCCAGGACCCGGTGCAGTCAAAAGCGCCTTCTCGGGCACTGGAGCCATCAAGCCCAAGCAACTCGGCATCAACGTGACCGCTGCATTCATGTATGCCGCTCGCATCTATCTCTGCTCTCTAGTCCCTGGTTTCCGCCTCGACGACCACAACGTCACCAGCTTGGTCGGCGCGTTCTGCAATGTCATGGAGTTCATCCCGGCAGGCCCGGATGGACACGATCGCTCCTTGGTGTGGCCATTACTTGTAGCCGGCTCTGTATCACTCTCCACCTCGCCCTTCCGCACCATGTTTGACGAACGCTGCACAAGGTTGGGCGAAGCGGCGGAGTTCGGCTCGTTTGGACGTATACGCGAGCTTTTCAAGGATGTGTGGATGTTGGTTGACGGTGAAGCAGCCATGGGAAGCTACCAGAGCGTCTCCTGGCGAGACGTGATGAGACAAAAAGGATGGGATTTCCTGTTGATCTGAGAGGTTCCATCTCCTGTGTTTGTTGCCTTGATGGTCACGCACACTCTGTCACATCCTGGTCTGGTTGCTTCTCTTACACTTACTTATAATACTTGTTGTACATAACAGAGGAGGACGATACCCCCCAACCATCACCGCAGAAGTGGTGTAGATGACTCCGTAATGAATAGCATGTTTTCTTTTTTGTGTTTCTCCATATCCTTTTGATGTCTTGATTGACGTAGCGTTGTCGCTCGTTCTCATGGAGACAAGAGACAACACTCCAACTTTCGGTCTCTGTCCATTGACGCACGAGTTGCATGCAACTCTCTATCGGTTTATCTATGCCACCTGGTGCTCTTGCTAACGTGGTTCACCTGTTACTGTATTGTTTCTTGACGAGAGTCTGCACACCCTGTCCAAAGAAAATACACATCTGATCATCATCTTCTCCGAACTTGGTATGATCCAGAAGACCAGAACTGAAGGCATGGCTCGAAAGTGATGATAATCTTCCTTCTGGTCACCCCTTGATTGTTGAGATCGCAAGTCAATCACGATATTTCATCGAGGCAATGTGACATGCGACGCCTACACGTCGCTAAATGATTGAGCACTCAAGAATGATCGAGCTCCGGAGCGTGTCTGCAGAGCAAAGTCCAACGCCGGACGAGACGAGACGATCCCAAGTCAAGACAAGAGACCCAAGCCGCAGAAGACCAGGAAGTCCAAGAGGTTCAGGCAAAGGTCGGAAGAGGACGAATCTGTCCACACGAGGTTGATTTGAGAGCGTAGGTCCTCATCGCAGAGGCAAACCGACACTCCAAAAGGCAAAGGCTCACCATCGTCTATACCCGGCAGTACATGCCGAGTGTCTTCTGCCTGCTTATTGTATCGCGCATCATCTCTGGCTCACCTCCCCGGCTACCTCTCAATTGCGACACGTCAACGGGTATGATACCAAGAGACATATGCTATATCTCCGATAATCCCGAAACTTGGAAAGAACATCGTTTCGCTCAAGGGGAGAGTTTTGGTTTAGAAGTTTAAGCCAAAAGTCTTGGGGTGTCCGCGAGGCAGAAAACGGCCAGATGCGCCAGATGAGTCGGCCGCTTGGCACCTGCGAAGCGAGAAAATCCTCGACGAGTTTTGTTTGGCTGCGCAGAGCCTTGCTTCTCTTCTCTTGCAACAACAACAACAATCGTCTCTTTTCTGATTGCAGTGACAAGTCCTGCCTCCTGGATCTGTTGGCGCATCTGCCTTGCGACTCTCTACTCTGGAGTCGCAACGATGGCATCCGCCTCGGACCATCGGAAGCTTGAGAACGAGTCTGGGAAGAGAAAGATCTTGTTGATACACAATACACACACACCACGATTTGCCTGTGGGAAGGCCTCTGCAATGCCTTGCTCGCTAACTAATTACAATTAGTGGAAGATTGATATTCTTTGCTTTTGCAAGAATAGGCGAAATAAGCAGCGCCTTTGTCTTCTCCACCCTTATGCATCACAACAATGATGAGCAAGGACTATGATAGACATACAAGATGTAGATTATACAGACACTGTCAATGATGATTCTCTTTTCTCCTGATCTGAGGTTGTAACCGTGATCGAGTCGTGAGACGAGTAAATCATCTCTATCGTGCTTTTTGCTGTATGAGAGTTTCCATTCATGACTTTTGCATCTTGGCCAACTTCTCATCCACAATCCTGCCGACTATCTTTTCCAAGATGGCAGGTTCGTTGGCGCCTCTGCTGCCCTCAAAGTAGCCCACCACGCTCTTCTCGACGTACTTGCCCACGCAATCGACCTCGACATTGACCGTATCTCCCTTTTGCTTTGCTCCCATGACAACCTTCTCTTGCGTGTAGTTGATCATCATGATCTCAAACCATCCCGCTTCGTCGTCGACGGCAGTGATGGTGAGGGAAGCGCCGTCCAATGTCACATATCCTTTTTCCACGATATAGCGCAACACGCTCTTATCCCTAGGCGCCATGCGAAACACCTTTGCCTCATTATCCGGCGTCACCGACACAATCTCGGCAATGGTATCCACATGCCCTTGCACAAAATGCCCTCCCATCCTCGTGTGAGCAGACACGGCGCGCTCGAGATTGACTTTGGAGCCCTGTTTGAGAGCACCCAGATTCGTGCGGCGCAGAGTCTCGGGCGCCGCGCCGATTTTGAAGGAGGAAGAGGTGAATTCGGTGACGGTGAGGCAGGTGCCGTTTACGCTGATCGAGTCCCCAAGGGTGCAGTCGCCGAGGATGGAGGAGCAGTTGGAGATTGTCATTGTGGTGCCGCCGCCTGAGGTGGCATCTTGGGGGAGGAGTTCGGAGACGGCTGTGGCAGGTGGGTGTTAGTGGGGGTTTGAGTGGTGGGAGGAGAGGAGGGGAGCTGGGCGTACTGCCTAGGGTTTCGACGATGCCGGTGAACATATTGGGCAATGTGTGAGTTGAGGGATTGGTAGCGAGGGCGAGAGGGCGAGAGGGCGAGAGGGCGAGAGATGCTATGATAGAGTGACTCGAATGTTTGGCAGCTCGCTCAGCGTGGACATGTCATAACGGGCATCCAAGCTTGCACCCAAAACTCGCCAAAACATGCCTCAAGTGAAGCTCGAGCTCAGGGTCCATCAATCAATTCTCCCAGCCATTCGTGCAACCACCTCACAACCACACCGTAGTTTTCCCTTTCGACTCATCAATTCTCAAGTCACTCCTCGTCTCCATCACGCACAATCCATCGCACGTGCAAGAATCAATTCCCTACCAAGTGATCTACTCCACATCATCATGAGTTTCTTCGGCGGCCCCTCGTCCCACCGCTCCTCCGCCTCGCGCACCACAAACTCCAGATCACGACCTACATTCCCACGCGCACCATCTTCAACAGCCTCCTTCTTCTCGCGCAACGGAGGCTCGTCGTCCTACTACAAACGACGACCCCGCGATGGATATATACAGAGCTTAATCCACAAACTCAAGCGCTTGATACGCGAGCTCTGGGAGTATGCACAAAGACACCCGTTCAAGGCTTTTATGGCTGTGGTGGTGCCGTTGATCAGTGCTGGGGGTGCTTTGCATGGTTTGCTCAAGCAGTTTGGAGTCAGGATACCTTTTGGATTGGATGGCATGTTTGATACGAGGAGTGGGTATTCGAGTTATGGGGCTAGGAGTTATGGTGCTTATGATGGCTATGGGGATGGTGTTGGGAATGTGTTCGGGGGAGGTGGGATGGAGACTGTGGGGGGTTTGATGAAGGTTGCGAGGGCGTTCATGTGAGCATTGGGATACGATAGTCATGATTGACTGGTGGAACGAATTCATGGCTCTTGTATGAACAATGATGATTGTTCCACGTGACGTATATGTTGCTGACCAAATGGAACATGGGAGATTGACAGGCCAGATCTTGGTAAGAGAGAGCGAGCCGACAACGACATGGTCGAAGCCAATCTCAGTCGCGACGGCAAGCTTCGTGGAGATGCGAGATGTGGATGCTCGAGATTTGGAGCCAAAGTCCTTGTCGTAAGGGATCGGTGGCAACAGGAACGAACCGGGAAGCAGCGGCCGTCGACCCTCGGCACAAGCGTCGCCAGCCCGGCCGCAGAATCATCATACGCGCCCTGATTGGCTGATCCCCATGGCCTCTGGGGCAAACCTGAGAAGTGCCAGATGCAACTGCCACCAAGACCGACATCCACAAAGACACTCTCTCCTTCCCCGTCTTCATCTCCACTCCACATCCTCTCTACCACACACACACACAACCGCCATCATGTCGCTCAGAATGGCCACCTCGCGCATCGCGCCCCGTATGATGTTCCGCCGCTCTATGGCCACCACCGTCGAGTCGAGCAAGGGCCCTCTCGCCGGCGGCACCGAGGCCATCAGCGCCTCTCGCCCTGTCCTTTCGCCCAAGGAGACCTCGACCGTCAAGGAGCCCCAGAAGGACCAGGACAGCAAGATCAAGACCTTCCACGTCTACAGATGGAACCCCGACGCCCCCAGCGACAAGCCTCGCATGCAGAGCTACACCCTCGACCTCAACAAGACCGGTCCCATGATGCTGGATGCTCTGATCAGAATCAAGAACGAGCTGGACCCCACTCTTACTTTCCGCCGATCCTGCAGAGAGGGCATCTGCGGTTCCTGCGCCATGAACATTGACGGTGTCAACACTCTTGCCTGCTTGTGTATGTTTCCTTCTCGCTCGCTCTTGTCATCCAGCCACTAACACATTTCACAGGCCGTATCCCCACCGACACCAAGGCCGAGTCCCGCATCTACCCCCTCCCTCACACCTACGTCGTCAAGGATCTCGTCCCCGATCTCACCCAGTTCTATAAGCAGTACAAGTCCATCAAGCCCTTCTTGCAGCGCGAGACCGCCCCCGAGGATGTGAGTTCATGCTTCTCTACCAACCTTCAACGACATCCATACTTACACATTCATCAGGGCCGCGAGTACCGCCAATCCCCCGCTGAGCGCCGCAAGCTCGACGGCCTCTACGAGTGCATTCTCTGCGCCTGCTGCAGCACCTCCTGCCCTTCATACTGGTGGAACTCGGAGGAATACCTCGGCCCCGCCATCCTCCTCCAGTCCTACCGCTGGATCGCCGACTCGCGTGACGAGAGAACCGCCACCCGCCAGGACGCCCTCAACAACTCCATGTCGCTCTACCGCTGCCACACCATTCTCAACTGCTCCAGGACATGTCCCAAGGGTCTCAACCCTGCTCTGGCCATTGCCGAGCTCAAGAAGTCCATGGCTTTCACCTAAACGCCTGTATTTCTTCTTGCATGCATGACCTAAAATTTCATTTTCCTTCGTTCAACGGTGTATATTTGGAGCGACGGCCACCCCCCAATTTGTTTGTTCTGTTCTTTTTCTTCATTCAGGAAAGGTAGACATCATATGCTATGATCCCTTTCACATCGATCCTCATGTTCTTGTACAATCGTAAAGCAGCTTTGCATCCAAGAATTGAAAAAAACACGATACAATATTCATCGCTTCTAACTTTCTTTTATCTCGTCCTTTTGTGTCTCGTGCGAAAAGCTCTGTCCCCGTAACGTAACACTCGGAGAGTTGAAACAAGGTACTCGAGCTAAGCTAAGCTAATATCTTGCACAGCGAACCTCATACGGGATGGCCCCTCTCAATATCTGTCCGTCATGTTACTGTCGTCTTCAATGGTCGACTCAGCGCCGCCACTCCCACTAATCATCCCGTCGTCATCACCACCTGCCATCGCAGACCTGATTCCAATCGAGCTGGTCTCGAATTCCTCCATGTCGACATCAAGATCCAGACTTCCCAAGTCCGTCTCGATGGCTTCCTGTTCAATCGCAAGCATGCGTACCTCGAACTCTCGTTGCAGCTCCTTGAGCCAACTCTGCAGAACCGCTCCTTCCATTGCACCACCAGCCGCATGCGCGAGTTCCTCTCTGAGACCCAGGATGAGCTTTCTTTTCCTTCCGACCATGACGGCCTTGGAGGCTTTGCGTCGTCTTTCCACTTGGGCTTGGAGTTGTTCTGCTACGTGAGTTGCGTAGGTGACGACGTCGGGTGGTAAGGGCATTACTTTTGCCAACTGGAGGCCGTAGTGTTGTTCGGAGACGACGCCGTCGGCGAGGGTGTACAGCATGGCCATTGTATCTGCTTCTGACATGTCCACTGCGAGATGTTTGTTGACGACTCCATTGCGCTCTGCGAGTATCTTTGCCAGGTCGTGGAAGTGTGTTGCGAACCATACCAGAGCTCGACTTTGCACCATTGCTTCTGCGATGGCTAGAGCGATGGCAAGGCCATCTCGAGGTGACGTGCCGCGGCCGAGCTCATCGATAATGACGAGGCTGTGTTTGTCAATGTTGCGCAGGATGAATGCTGTTTCTCTCATCTCAGAAGCAAAGGTTGATACATTGGCCTCGATGCTGTCGTCGATGGAAATTCTGGCAAAGAGTTGTTTGATGATTGGAAAAGAGGCGAATTCGGCTGGCACGAAGCAACCAATCTGAGCCATGACTGACAGCAGCGCGATGGAACGAATGTAGGTGCTCTTCCCGCTCATGTTGCATCCAGTGATGATCTGGAAACGTGACTGCTGTGTGGCGAACACATCGTTGGGTATAAAAGGAGTGTTTTGTACCTTCTCTCTGATGGGATGACGACCAGCTTTGATGCCGAGAGTTTGCGTGATGCGAGGACGAGTGTAGTCATGCAGAGTGACATTGTGAGCAAAGGCCGAAAGCACGTCTAACATCGCGATACTCTCAGAGGCTCTGAACAGCACAGACATATAGATGCGGATTTCGGTGATCAGATCTTGTATCGCTTTGTCGCTCATCAGCAATACTTCAGTATGAGAATCTGAGATCTTCTGGCTGCGTTTTCGCAGGTCTAATGTTGAGCATTCGACCTTTTTATTCTTGCGAACGACATTGATGAATATCGGTGGTAGGTTTCGGTCTTCGAGTTCCGAAGCGTTCAGACTGAGATAGTACTGTCGAGCATTGTCGTACTTGAGCTCCAGTCTGAGCGAGTGTGTATCTACACCATTATCAGCATGCTATATTCATAGTAAGAGATGAAGCGCTACTGACCCTGCAGCTCATCAACGAGCTGATACACGTCCATGTTTGCCTCCTTGTACGTTTGCCGAGCGACATCGAGCAGTCCATTGATACCCGACTCAAAAAATAGTCAGCTCGAGTCGATCCTCTCACGACTGCAGTACCGACCTTGACTGCGTATGTCCTCTGGTTTCGCAGCTCAAGTGGTTGTTTCGCATAGGTGATATCTTCGTTGATATACTCGTCGATGAGTACTCTGATAGAATCAATACCGCTGGGAATACAGTTCTACTTGTCATTTTAGTCAAGATCACCAGAGGGCGGTGAAGATACTGACGCGTCGAATCTCTTTCAGCATAACACTCTTGGATCCGGTCAAGGCTTCGTAGACAGGCTGAGTGCCAGCCACAAACTGTTTGAGCATGATGATTTGGTTTATACTCTGTTCAGTGGATTGTAATGACGGCTTGGTTGGAATAATGATGAGCTGGGTCAGGATCTTGTCTGCATCCAGGATGGTCTTGAGCGCTGTCCTTGTAGCAAAGAACATTTCTTCCTTGGTTGTCAGCTCTTCGAGAGCATCGTAGCGTGTTTCCAGTGTCTGGCGATCGGTAAGCGGCTGTAGGACGTTGCTTCGCAGAAGTCTTGAACCCATTGGTGTCAAGGTCTGGTTAAGAATACCAAACAGACAGTCGGGTGATTTTTGATTCTGGAGATTCTGGATCAACTCGAGCGAGCGGATGGTGGACAGGTCGATCATCATGGAGCCTTCGGATGCTTCGTATCTAATCCTCAAAGAGTGTGGTGGGAAGGTCTTGTTCATTGCAAGCTCGATGAACTTCATGGCGGCGGCGAAACAGCATACCGAGAAGTAATTTCCGTAGACGGACGTTTTGATGCTGTCGACGTCTTGAATGAATCCAAACTGTTCAATGAACTCGATGCCGGTAGTTTCGGCCCAGTAGCGGCGATCAAGGAGAATCAAGTTGCTGTTCAGGTCATCCAGATTTCCCTCAATGAGGCAGAAGAGCTTGGACATTGTCTTTGCAGCTGTGTCGAGAATGAGGATTTTGGAAGGACTGAAGACTGCCAACTTGTGCAGAGTGCGAACATAGGACTGGCTGTCTGGAATTTGACTGAGGACGGCCTCACCCGTATCCAGATTGACGAAAGCAAGACCAACTGTGGGAGCTATACCACGAGACTCGCTCACAGCGCAGATGACCTGTTGCGACTCTACTCCGATTGTCGAGACGGCGGTACGGGGACGAGCCGAGTATTCGTACGAGCTGAACTGCGAGTAGCCTGTGGAGCTTTCGACTGCGGGTGACGGCGGGAGACGAAGCCTGCTATGTGACGACGAGACACTCGTCCTGTATGATCTGGAGGTCATGTTGTAACTGAAAAGGTGAATTGAGTGTGGTAAAGAGGGTGAAGGTGAGGCGCTGGACAGAGATGCATTCAGGGTCCAAGCCTTTAGGAGATCGCGACTTCCTACTTAGCCATTGCTGCCTTCCCGACAGAGAGACCCAATCACATCTGCACTCGCCTTTCGCCATCACAGACGTGCCTTCGTCTTTTCGAATCCGACCTGATTGATGCAGCTGCCCACGCCTTCGAGGTTGACTTCCACAACATCTCCATCTTTCAACCAAACCTGAGGCTTGCGGCCCATGCCGACACCCTGTGGACTGTTTCCCAGTAAGTAAGTGCTCAGATTATCATGGATTCAAGGTAGGTTCTTACGTTCCGGTAAAGATCAAATCTCCAGGCAACAAAGTGGTACCTTGGCTCAGAATGCTAATGGTCTTTGCAATTCCAAAGATCATGTCGCCAGTATTGCTGTCTTGAACAGTCTTGCCGTTGACCTTGGTCGTGATCCTCAGGTTTTGCGGGTCCGGAATCAGCTTGGTGCTGACAATTGCAGGACCGAAGGGAGCCCATGCATCGAAGCCTTTGCCGAGACCCCATTGCCCACCACCGCGCTTGAGTTGCCAGTCACGATGCGAAACATCGTTTCCTACAGCATAACCTGCCACGTACGAGAGTGCCTGGGACTCTTTGATGTTTGTTCCCTCTTTTCCAATCACAGCGACCAGTTCGCACTCGTAATCGAGTCCTTCTCCTTCTTGAGCTGCCGCACAGACAGGTATCTTGTCAAAGGGTCCGGTGACTGAGGTTACGGGCTTGTAGAAGAGAACGGGATACTTTGGGATGGGCATGTTGGACTGTAACATTGACTTAGCATTTGTCGGCATGTGCTCTCGACGAGGTGACATACTTCAATTGCATGCTGCTCATAGTTGAGGCCGAGGCAGCGGACAGTCCTGATGTCCTCTCGGGCTAATGGTGCGAGGAGCTTCTGCACATCCTAAGGAGGTTCAGCGCATGCCTTGAATACCTGGAATCCAAGACTGCATACAGCTACGCGCTCGGTGACTTGATGTTGTCCCCATGGTGTACCCTGGATGACCTTGGCCTGGGCCACTCGTGTCAAGTCGTTGGCTCCAGAGGGTACAAGTGCATCTCCGTAATAGGTCTTGCCATCTTTTGCAAGGAAGCGAACGAGTCTCTACTGGTCATTGAGTTTAGCGGCGATTGCTCGAGGCGAGGCGTATATACACACTGAGAATGACGACATGTTTGGTTCCTTCGACAATGATAGATTGTTGTCGGTATTGTTCAAGAACGATGTCGCCGACTCCAGCTTTCTCCACACTTTCGCTCGAGGGTGCGTCATGCGATTTCTCTCGATCATCAACTCCAGTCTATGACAAACTTTGCCATACCACCTGCACACTGACCATATATGTTAACCTAGCCGAACTACTTCAATCGACAGATCACCCTCGCATCAAACACTCACACAACAATTGATCAACATGGCACGCCTGTCGGGTCTTCAGCGCGAGATCCTGTCTCTATACCGCAAATGTCTACGCGAAACACGAAAGAAGCCTGCTGTACGTCCTAAGACTGCACCAAGAAGAGCAGCAATGACTGACTTTAAACAGGATGTGAGGTCAAACTTCCTTCGGTTTGCTCAGTAAGCTACATCCTACTCCATGTACCTCACTACCAAATGTTGACACTGTTCAAAGGTCAGAGTTTCGTGAACATCAGAAGCACGACAAGAAAGACTATTCTGCCATCGAGTACATGCTTCGCAAAGGTCAACGCCAACTAGAGATTTATTCGTCTCCTGGTATTCGAAACATCAACTAGTAGTTTCAGACTTCGCTCGCCTCCCATGCCCGCCACATGCGCACATTCGTCACCTCGACCCTGTCACTATCTGGATGCTTCCATGAGCGTGGTCACAACTTGTCTACTACCTGCTTTGCCTCGAGTGCATCACGCAACAATGTATTGGTCATCTTGTCACCGTCTGGACGGCTGGTTGATTTTCTAACCAATGTCACGTGACTGGCTGGCCTCGAAGCCTCTCGAAGCTTCCTTCCTATTCTGGAACCATCTCCGCTTCGTGCAGCAATCATTGTCACCACTGGTATCTTTGTCAGGAGACAGTACGAGGAGACAGTACTGGCATCTTCTAGATGTGTGTTACGCAGCAAGAGCAAGGTGGTGAGATCGAACCAGCACATTCTGGTATGCTCTACCACCCTCGAGGCTGCCATCCAACAATGGTGTCTCGGAAGATATAAAAGCAGTCCATCAACCTACCATACTCCCTCATCATCAGAAACAAAAACAATCACTCAACAGCAACAACAAACAATTACATGCAAACCTACCGCATCACCAACAAGCTCCCTCAAGCTTACAAGATCATCAAAGTCACTCCTCAAGCAACCCCAGTCAGAACAATGTTTTCCTTCCCGCGCTTCCCCTCTGGCGAATTCGCCCCTCTCTTCCGTCTTCTAGACGACTACGCCTCGCACCAGAGCTCTCGCCAAGGAGGCGATGACTTTGCCAACTTTGGCGGTCTCTCTCCCCTCCGCTCCTTCCAACCTCGCTTCGATGTAAAGGAAGTGAAGGATGCCTACGAATTGCACGGTGAACTTCCCGGTGTGGAGCAAAAGGACATTCAGATCGAATTCACCGATGCTCAGACCTTGAGTATCAAGGGTCGCACTGAGCGTCACCGTGAATCTGGCACTCCACCCACTGCTGCTCTCGAAGGTCAACAGGAAACAGGCCGTATCACAGGCAGTGAGGAGTCGACATCTGACACTTCGTCTCAACACTACCAACCTCCCACCGTTGAAGACGAAAACACCACTTCCTCCACCACCAACACCGAGCAACAAATCACCACCACCGACACCTCCAACAACCAACTCCAGCAACAGCAACAGGCACAGCAGAAGAAGTCTGAACACCGCTACTGGGTCTCCGAACGTTCAGTAGGAGAATTCTCTCGCAGCTTTGCTTTCCCCTCCAGAGTTGATCAGGAGAACGTCAAAGCCAGTTTGAGCAATGGCATCTTGAGTATCGTGGTCCCCAAGGCTAGTGTGCCTGTCACGAGAAAGATCAACATTGAGTAAAGCTTTCTCACCTTTCAAAAGGGGGAGGTTTTTTTACTCAAAACATGAGGGTCCTTACGAATACGCTTTTCAACGAGATTTTTGCTTGCGATTTTTTTGCATCGAGGGATGGATGGGGTTTCGTTTGCCTTTGAACTGATTTTATGGATTTTGTTGCTTTTTGTCCTTTTTGTCTTTTGCTATTGCTTCTTTTTGTTTTTTGCTCTTGTTGTTCCGGATGAGGGTTTTCGCTATAATCGCTTCACTTTGGCATTCAGTACAGATTCTTCTCTTCTCATACTTCTTCGTCCCGTGCTGAGTAACTATACATTGTGTCAATGGTGATGTCTGAATCTCCTGTATCTTCCCCTGGTGTATTGCAAGACTTACTCTATCCCGCCGACCTTCACTCTTTTCGTGCAACTTCCGCGTTTGGGAAGCAGCATCCTCACAGTGAGAAAACGTATTCTTCATCGTAGCAAGCATATATGAGGCAAGGTAATCAGAGAGAAAAAAGAACCATTAGAAATTGGGTTGTCCTGTATCTGTAAAAAGGCCAAACAATATAATATGAACACGGCATGAGGATATCGGCACATGTTCCGAACCACTCCTTCCAGATCAGAAAGAAATTACGCCCCCATTCATAAACACAAAAGTATACCACTTCCTGAGAAAAAAGGAACAGAAACGCAAGAATGAATCTTAAGCGTTAGAACCGGGCATCGGAGGCGCACCACTCAACGCCTTATCCCAACTCCACTCTCTCAAAATGCCAGAAACGCGCTTGAGACTGATCCTCCTGGGCTTCTCAGCCACCTTCTCCTCACCTTCCTTTGCCGCAGCAGCAGCCTTGTCCTTCTCAGCGGCGGCGGCGGCGGCAGCAGCGGCAGGACCATGACACGCAGTGCGTGCAGAGTGGAAGTTGTTCCACTGGGCATGCATGTCATTCCACGTTAGGCGTTTTGTTGCGGGTTCCTTGACTTTCGGTGCAGAGGCAGCAGCGGGTCTCCAGGGTCGAACGTCAGAGTCTTGGGTCATGCGGTGCACGAGTGGTGGTGCTTGAGGTTTCTCCGAGACAGGAGTGGCGTCGGCGTTGTCAGGGGCGGAGGTAAGCATGGTAGGTTTGCACGATGAACGTCTGCGAGCTTTCATTGTTTCGGTGGCGGTGGAGAGTTGTGTCGAAGCGGGCTTGACCTCGGCGGTCTCGATGACAATGGTGGCAGGGATGCTCTTGACTTTGTGCATAGAGTCGTGCGTAGAAGACTGCACAGAGACTGCGGAGACAGATTTCAGAGATACGGCACGAGCTTGACCAACTTCTGCTTTTTCCTCGTCGCCGGTTTTGAGGTTGGAGGAAACAGAAGGAGAGTGTTCGCTGCGTTCGCGCCAACTCCTGATCAATGGACGCAGAGTTAGGAGACATGCGGCAGTGGCTCCGGTGCCAACTTCAGCACCGCCGAGGACGGCAACGGGGTAAGCCATTGTCCAGAACTGTCCTCCAGTGCCACCAAGAGCGTAGAGGAAGCCGAAGCGAGGCATCGACATGATGCTACTGACACATCCCAACACCAAGATGAAGCCAGCAGAAATCTTGGCTTGGTGGTTCATCTTCATAGCGCGCAGGGCGAAGATGGGAAGGATAGCGAGGGTCCAGCTAGCGAGGGTGTTGATGACGCTGTCGGTGTATTGCAAGCCTTGCATGGCTTCCCAAGGCACACACATGGAGTGGTTGTATCGAGCATAAAAGTCCATGGGGTCGCCGCAGCGGAAAAGCATGACGAAGAAGAAGGCAAGACCGAATGCAGTGTTGATGCCGACGACGACTTGTACTGTCAGGCGTTGCCATTTCTCGAGCAGGATGCGGTTAAAGGTGATTGCGAGAGAGGCCTTGAGGAATACATTTGCCAGAGTGTAGAAGGCGAACTGAAAGACTTGGTACTGATGGCTGTCAGCATATGGTTGTCTCGCAGTCGAATCTGGAGGATCTCACTGTCACATATATCGTGGCCATTTCGACGTCTTTGAGATCTCGGCCTATGACGATGAGAAGACTGCTGTCGACAGTGAATATGAGCTGTGAACAAGTTAGTCGACCAATTTCCAACAAGCCATTGTCTTTGACACGTACCATCGCAATGACCATCAGCCAATCGTCGAGGGCGAATGATCGCATAAGATATCCTTTGACAACGACCCGCAATGAGAACGCGATCCAAGCAATGACCAGATATGCTGCCGAGACACCAATCATGGTACTCGCTCGCTCTTCGAGACCCATGATGTTGTGTTGTTGTAGGATGTGAATAAGTCTTAAAGACTAGCGAGTTTATCCGCAGAATTTAGCGTCCAGATGAGCGTTGGTTGCTGTGGGCTCACGATGGGTTGGATGACAGTCTAAGAAAAAGAAGAGATGTACAAGAGGAGAAGAGAAGTGGAGTGGAATGTGATAGACCGGTAAATTGTGTCAAAAGAAGGAAGAAAGTAAAGAAGTAGCAGCACAGCATGCTGGGAAAGAGCATCCCTTTTACCTACCGCATCAGAACTCCAGAACCATTGGTCCTGCAACGGCAGTAGTATCATGGCGTCAATAGAACCTGTATACCAACCATGACAGCCTTACTGTGGGCATAATTGAGACAGAGTTATCGAAAATGCACAGGCTTTTCCGCCTAAGGCCATATCGCTCTGACGTTGGAACGGTTTTCATCGATGGCTTGCCGGCAGTCGACAGACTTTCGGCTGCACTTTACTCATGGCAGGAGATAATCTCACTACACTACTCACGAGTCGAGAGAATCAGCAGATAGGAAACTCGACATGATCAAAAGATGTATGACATGTCATGTTGTAGAGAAGAAAGGAGGAGAGCTGGTGTCGGCGTCAAAAATCTCGGCTTCGAGATCCCCCAACCTCTCGATTCTTCCACGTTCTCCGTTGTCATCTGTCTTAGTCGGATCAACGTTCACAACGACTGTTTTCACCACGAGTCATGCGATTTGAGATAGATCCAGGTCTCTCGCTTGCGACAGACGATCTTCAATCTCAACTAGATCAAGGTTGATATGTACGTGCTTGACCCTTGCTTGGCCTTGCTTCTTTGGAGCTTGATGATTGACTCAACATAAGTGGCAGAAACGCTTCATATAGAGCGGAACGTGAACGGGAAGAAAAAGGTATTGTCTGAAATTGTACTGGTTCTTGTATGCTACAGCTCGCTCAAGCCAAAGACTTGTCGTATGCGTAGGGGGTCTTGTTCGACGAACGGCTCTTCAAGAACGCAGCGCAGAGACCGAGGATAACAGCCAGAGCACCGATCTTTGCAAACCAGCTGATGCCAGCATCGTTGACAGCGTCACCGTAACCAGCAGCCAACTCCTCCTCTTTGTGGTGGGACAGAGGCTCATCACCCTTCTCGTTGACGGGAGCGTTTGCAGCAGGAACAGGAACGGGGACAGGAGCAGCGAGTGGTTCTTCGTCTTCTTCTTTGAGGTCTGCGACAGGCTCGGCAGAGCCAATGAGCTTATCTATGGACAAGCATCAGCGGCCTGGAGCAGCGAGTGAGAAATCGAAGAGAGCTGAAACTGAACCAGACGTACCAGTACGCCCAGAACGCAATCAGAGCTCGGCTCTAATACCTTCTTCAGGGACCTCAAGCTCGCCACTCTTGGCAATCTTGATGGGCTTCTGAGGCTTGTCGCCAGCACCCTTGGGAAGGTTCTGGATCTTGTCGACGATCTCCCAGCCCTCGAGGACCTCGCCGAAGACGACGTGACGGCCGTCGAGCCACGAGGTGATGGCGGTGGTAATGAAGAACTGCGAGCCGTTGGTGTCCTTGCCGGCGTTGGCCATGCCTGGAGGGAGCATGTGTTAGGAAGAGGTCATGCAGCTGAGATCTTGAAGAGGGAGAACGTACTGAGAAGACCCTTCTTGCTGTGCTTCAGCTTGAAGTTCTCGTCGGGGAACTTGTTGCCGTAGATGGACTTGCCGCCGGTACCGTCGCCCTTGGTGAAGTCACCACCCTGGATCATAAAGTCCTTGATGACACGGTGGAAGGTGGAGCCCTCGTAACCAAAGCCCTTCTCGCCGGTAGCAAGAGCTCTGAAGTTCTCGGTAGTCTAATGACACGTAAGCATGATGGGTGTGTGGGAGCAAGACTTGTAGCTACCTTGGGGACAGTCTTGCCGTAGAGACCAAGGACGATACGTCCAAGCTCTTCGTCACCGGAGGTCACATCGAAGTAGACCTAGAAGCATGTAAGCAATTGGCATGTCGTGAAGCTGAGAAGGTGGACATGTGTACCTTGTGGGTGATCTTGGGGCCCTTGACAGCCTCGGAAGACTGGGCAAAGAAGACAAAGGTGAAGGTGAGGATCACCAACAGGGAGATGATGAGTCTCTGGAAGCCGGCCATGGTTGATGTTGGACAATGGAGAGTCGTGCAACAAGGAGAGACGGAGGGGGAATCAGGGACAAGCTGGAGCTGGACGGAGCGCGGACGGGAGCGCCGAGGCGGCAGGTGCTTGGACTCGCGGCCTTGGCACCTCCGTCGCGACTGCCCCAAGCCCGAACTTTTGAGACCTGACCACCGCCGACGACATCGACGCCTGTCATCCTTCCCATCCACACACAGTCACCATGGTTGTGAGTAGCCGTCCTGCGCGCAATCTCCTGCTCTATACATTGATGCTAACTCCCCGGCGCAGCTCGTCTTTGGAGTCAACTTTGCCGAATCGCGCCTCGTCAAGAGCGCCCTCGAGAGCTTCTACGGTGTCGGCCCTCAGATCTCCCAGCGCCTCATGGCTCGCCTTTCCATTCACAACACCGCAAAACTCCAGGGTCTTGGTCACCGCACAGTCAACGACCTCTCCGCCGAACTCCAGAACCTGACCATCGAGAACAACCTGAGGAGGAAACTGCAAGACAACATCAAGCGTCTAAGAGATATGGGCACATACAGAGGAAGACGCCATGCCATGAGTCTGCCAGTCCGTGGTCAGAGGACCCGCACACAGGTCGGTCCGCTTTACACACAATCTGCCAGTCCAGCACTGACACCTTTCTCAGATCGCAACTGCCAGAAAGTTGAACAGAGTTGTTCGCAGAGGCTGAGCGCATCGGCCCTTCTTCTACTGTACAACTACTCTCACAACGGCATTGGGTGGCGTAAATGGTTTGCGATACCAACAATTCTTATTCTCCTGTACTCTGATGACTCTCATTCCACCTTCTATTCCATGCAAGAAAACGTCCCAGAACTCCTCCCAATCAATCATCGTTATCGTGTCAAGCTAAGAGTGAGAGGATATGCACCGATACATGTTCCTGTCCTGGTCCTGCCTAGGTAGGCATGCATACAATCAAGACAACCATCCCGATCCCACAAACGAAAGACGTCCTTCGAGTTGATCCAGTCAACAAGATCATGTACACCGTATATGCAAATGCTGATAACAATAAGCCAGTGTTGGCTGCCGGCGCTATCGTCCGAGTGGTCTTCTCTTGAAGGTCGTCAGTCATGGAAAGGTATGCATTGAGTTCGTGTGATACTGACAGCGCCTTGTAGATTGCTTCAAGCCATTGAGGCTGAGCGGTCACCACAGCATGCGAAGAGAAGGGTCTGAATATCTTCAAACCCTGTCTCGCGGGCGCCAGGGTCTTTGCCAGTGTCGCCGTTGTTCAGGACAATGTAGCCTGGGTCCTTGCCAGTATCCCCGTTGGCTGCTTGTAGTGCCTGAGAGGATGTGGAGGGTGATGTGTGGGAGAGGACAAGGTCCATTGATGGCGAGCAGGTGGAGTAGGGCATTGTGTATGTGTGTGGTATGTGTCTGTGGTTTCAAATGCTTGAGTGTGATGTTTCAATTGTTTCGTGCCGCATCCCTACCTTCTTATACCATATCATGTCTCTGCATAGCATGTACATTGCAAAGTAGAGACCGTGCATCTTGCTTCAGTCATCAGGCAACAGACCCTCTGGACGATGATTAGAAGGCCGCTAGGTCAGGGCCGCCAGGCCAGGGCCATACAGATGACGAATGCCATTCGTCCAAACCAACAGGGACTTATAGTTAGGAACATCTGCGGTGTTGGTTTCTAGAATATGCCAATGCCCACTGCGCTCCAGAGCGGGCTATGTCCGTTCCCCGAAAGGAGCCTTAGAAAAGGTCGCGATCACTGGCCATGTCTGCCTGGGTGGAAGAAGCGGCCACGAAAGCACTTCCGTTTCGGGAATGAGGTGTGAGGTGTTGCTCCGATGCTTCGAAGCGAAACACTTACAACCAACCCCTGGCTACCTATGAGTAAGGATGTTACAGTCACAGAAAAGGCATCAATAACTGCTCTATCGCTCATGATTGATCAGAAGTATCGATTAGTTAATCTGAAAGTATCCTGAAAATAGAGGCGGAGCCGTCGTGTCTGCCTTACCAAGACTGAGCCATGACGTCGACACCAACACGCGATTGCCTCGTACACTCATTGTAAGCAAACTCATTTAGGCTTCCATTTTCTGAGAAGAGCACATGGCCTCAAAGGGTTGCAGTAGCATGGCGAAGCAATGAGGAATAATCACTCCGCCGCGTCCGGTGACTCGAAACAAGACGGCAGACAGTCGCCGTTCATACATGGTCGCCGAACTGTTCCGCATTATTTCAAAGCAACTGCCTAGATGCCTTGGACGACACAATCTAACAGAGTGCTTTGAGCAGTAAGCTTTCTGTTTGCTCAGGTAAGCTGGACACGGTTCTGTCCGAGTCTCCAAAGACATTCACGGACGTATCGATGCCCCGTCGGGGCATCCTAGACAAGACTTGAAGTCGAAGCAGGAGCTTCTGTCGTGCCGGCGCCGACACTGCCGAGATGTGATGCGGCCGATTTTTGGGCCTCCTGCATGTGCGCTCATCTACTGGTCAACCCTCCACCATCAGATCTTATCTCCGTTCGCAGGATGCAACCTGTCTGGTGTCTCTGCAACCCTCGATATCTCGCACCTCGACCGCCATCGCTCACCGATGTGCCGACCTCCGGGTTGTCACAGATCGCTTGTCCTCCACATTAAGCCTCCTTGGTCAGCCTTTTACGCCTCGTGACAATTTGCAACTCGATATGGGTCCAGGAATAGGTCAACAACACGGCTTATACTATTAACGACCACGCCCTATACTCGAATCCTTCCACGCAAAGTTTTGAGAGCACAGACCGGAGAGATTAGGAAGTTCTTCATGACGCCGCCCTGCACCTCAAATGTAGGGGCTGTTCCTGAAGTCGCGCGTTGCTTTCTTGTTCGAGAAGTCGTCCATCTTGGCCGAATGCTCTTGTATTGATCTTCAAGGATCTTCGGCAGCAGACCCCAGGACTTTATGCACATCAGGCACCGAGGTCCGTGCTGCTTGACCATTCTCTACTTATGGTATACTGTTGCCAGCTTTCCACTACAGCGAGGTTGATCTTCTCCTCTGATCATTCAGATATCCTTCTATCGCTCCTCGTTAAACCATTTGCTCTTCAAGGTATGAACTGAACGTCATAATGCAGACTACACACAACCACCTCCTTAGTGCGACACTGGCATCCACCTATCAGATCGGACAGCAGTGACTTCATCCTCTGTGTGCTCGACTCACCGACATGAGTCACACTCTCTTGACCATTGACCAAAATCAACACCTTGGCTCAATTGACCGGTTGTAAGTTTGAGGGTTGGATGCGATCCTTACCAGCCACAACTCATGGTCCTGTGCTACTCATAAGTCGCATGATATCCATTTTAGTTGCTCGAGTCGCACCAAGATTCGAAGGTCATATCAAACCCTGTAAGATCACTTCTATGGTCGATCATCTGTCTACAACTTCTGTAGTCGCAGCAATTGCGAGAGCTGGCACGGTCAGAGCGCAATATATAGATGGACGCATTTGGTTACCATTGGCTCACAGCCGAGATTGCTATATTGCATGCATACCGACCGGTTGGTGCGGGGCTTATCACATGACATCGTGTACCTGTTCATCAAGCTGGACGACAGCCAGCCTTGTCGAACTCGTCCCATTTTTACAGCCACGTTGAGAATGTAAGGATTTCGTCAGAAGTCCAAGCTGCTGTGCGGTACGGAACGCTCCTTAGTGTACTGATATCCCACACCAACCACCCCATAGCTCTACACAGCCCTGTGCTCCCGTGTTGGTACTTGGAAGGTCAGCTTCAGCTGGACCGTGATCAAGATTAGGGATGGAATCCTTTGCTTACGGAACCAACAAAATGGAGGAGCTCTTTGATTATGGACCCGACCTGCTCTCTGACCGAGCGTCGTTTCAAGCACTTATCGATGAATTATATCCAGCAGACACAAGCATGCAACTAGATGTTGAGTTTAGCAGCCGTGACACCTCGCCTCCAGGTCCTGACACTCCACCATCGTCTTCCGGCGGCGGTCAGGAAGACGTTGCTAGTCTGGAGACGGGACACGAACATCAAGCTTTCGCTCAAGGAGCACTGATGACAGAAATGCTTGCCGGGATGAGAGGATCCACACCCACCGATCTAATGAGGGCAGGCACAAACACTTACCATGACTTGAACATGATCGAGTCATCCTTTCAAGATTCTTATCTGGGGCTACCATCATCTTCGCAATATCCGCCAAGTCAAATGCCAGCCTACACCTGGGAGAGCTTCCCCGAGAGACCTCTTCAATACGGGGCAGTTTACGGCACCAACTTGTCCTGGACTGACCCTGCTGCCATCAACTTCAATAACCCAGACCCCAGTTGTTATCCAAGTGGTCAAGCATTCTTTGACCCAACAGCATTCATACCTAGATCCATGATGACTGTTCCTCATAATTCGTTCCCTCAGAGCACTACCGACGGCATTGAGCGTGGACTCGTCGCCGCACAAGAACCGATGCCTCTCAATACTCTCCAACCTGATGATGTGATAATCAGATATCGCCAGCTCTCCTCGCCGGAAGCCATGATGGTAAACACCGGATATCAGGTCAACACCAGTCCGTCAGTGCTTATCGGGCTCGACATGTCGGGTCAGCCAGTTATAAATACCAGCCAACAGCCTGCGACGTCTCTTGTAACACAGCAACAGCCCGTTGTGGTCGAAAGGACGCACACCAGTCCCGTAAAAGATACTGCCATCCCCGAGACAGCCGATCTGCCGATAAGAAACTACCGCTCAAGAGAATCAATCAACTCTCGATCTCCAGAAGCTGCACGGCGAGGCATAGCATCTCAACCATCCTCATCTCGTGGCTCAAGTCCAAGACCCATACACAAAGGAGGGCGCCAAGGTGGTCTCGACGGCAACACACGAGCCCATGCCAACCAAATGCGAAAGCTAGGAGCATGTTGGATTTGTGCCTTCCAACGTGATCAGTGTGATCCAGGAAGCCCCTGCACCAGATGTCAAGACCGAAGCATTAGAGGGTCTTTACACATGTTGCCTTGCTCACGCATACATCTCCAAGAGCTGGTACATCAGTTCCTTCCTGCCACTATGAACAAACAACATCGCCGCGAGGAGATCTTGGCGTTTGCAAAGAAGAGTCTAGGATCTTGGAGACAGGATGCTCCTATCCAGGTTCATTTGACTTCTCTAGGCTTGGGAAACTTTTCCTGGGATCTACACGAGTACGAGCCCTCTTCTCAGGATTTGTTGCTGCAGAAGCGATACAAGATGGGAATCGCTGGAACATGGCAGCGTATCGAGAAGAGGTCGCCCCCGTTGGCAGTGAAACAAGTCAACTTCGGGCATATGCACAAGTTGGAAGAATATGTGGACAACATCATTGATCGACATCTTGCGATGTTCCAGCAGCAGATTTACTACGGAGAAGAGGACTCTACCGCGGCTTTCCAGAACGAGTTACTCCAAGCACTGTGCAGTCTCTACACCAGCTTACCCGACGAAGACGATGTAAGCTTTTTGCTTCCCTTGCTTTCATACCTCTTTATTGACCACTAGCCAGGACAAAACACTCAAAGGTGACCTCCGTCACGTCCTGCGTCTGCAGATACTCACAGCTATAATGGAGCACCCCATCACCATTTCTTCTGCCACTCTCCCCACCGTTATCGCCTCCATGACCACCCACAACAACCCATCGCTCTACACATCTTGGACATCTCCGTTCCTCGCAAACCGCCAGCTCAAATACTACTTTGCCGAAATGCAAACATTGCAATACAATCGCACACTGAACCGCCTCCACCAAATCCTCCGCAAAGCAGGCGACAAGAATAAACTCTGGATGTCGAGCTTCGTGCTCATGCTAGGCATTGCCAGCGTCCTAGAGTCATGTCAACATTTACTGTGGATCAAAGCCGATGCCAAAGTCTCTCGTGGAGAAACATCGTCAGTCGATGCAGCTTGGGAGGCTCGAAGTCATTGCGCAGAGATGGATGATGGGTTCGAGTTTTTGTGTAAACTCTATCATTGCAAGTACAGAGGCAAGCATCGCCAAAAGACCAGATATGAGGAGTTGAAGGGGAAAACGACGAGGGTTGCAGAGCAAGTGTTTGCGGATAGGATTTATGAGATTGTGGATAGGAATGGTGAGTTTCGAGCGAGCCCTGATGAGCGCATGAGCAGACCCTCGCGTCCTCGCTCCTTGACCTCTGCGTATTTTCCTGGACCTGAAGCTAATCTGGACTATCACGCAGGAGGCTACCTTTTGCATCGTCAAAACCTTATCGTCAATGGTATGCAAGACAATAACCACGCTTCGAGATTGGTAGCCAGGTTTCTGGTAGAGTTGATGGGACTGACTCAGTCGTCGCCGTGAAAACTCATCGCATGGGATTTTTGTTCGCCGGGTCGATGAGAAAAGATGACGAGGTAGCGGTGAAAATAATCTCTTGTCAAGCGGGGTGTGAAAATGTTTGGGACAAGGCAGGCGTGAGAGAAGCAGAGACAAAGGAGGGATTTGGGAAGAAGGAAAAGAGCGGTATTCTTATGACCTTTATGAAGATACTACGACATTCACGATGTTAATGATTGCAGAGGCGCGATTGGGTCGCGATTGAATCACTCGTTCACGGTTTGCAACTCGATATGCTTGCGTAAACACTGATGCTTTTCGTAAATACTTGCGGAGTGTGTATTTATTTTGATTAGAACGATCAAGTGTCTCTACTACGCCTCGGGATTTTACTGAGTGCAATGATCAGAACAGCGACTAGCCGCAGGACAAACAAATCATCGCAGGTCGAGGATCAAGTAAGTATACTACATCCTCGACACCAGGGTGATGCGAAAAGCATCGAGGTGATAATCAATTATAGGATGTAGATCATAGATCATATCAGTCGAAACTGCTTCAACAACAAGGTTGTATAGTGTAATGGT